CTGTTTCACCAGATCCTGCAGGAGTAGAGTATCGTTGCTTGAAATTTAGACAAAAGAAGAAGAAGGATGAGAGGAATTTTTTATTCTGCCTCCTCCGCTTCAGTACGCGCATATATAAAAGCAAAAATTTACTGTGCATGAGGAAAACTTCGTTACGAAGTTTTCTTGTACAATAATCTTATTATAATATAAAAAAACATACGTCACACAATTAGCATGGTATTTTTTTTTCTTTACACTCAAGGATTTTTTAAAATTATTTTACGTTGTTACAAAAAATAAAAAATATAGTAAATAATATATTAAATATTAAATAATTTAATATAGAAAAAATAATTAACTATATTTTTTTACTCAAAATTTATGCAATTAAAAACTGCTACATAATATAAAAAATATTCAATATACTTCCATTAAGTTTTAAAAAATGTAAGTGTAGTTAATCAGCATAAAAATACTTATCATTAAATAATTCTAATAAAAATCAAATATTGTTTTAGTCTATGACCATATATAATACTATGAAAGAATTCTTAATTATTATAAAGTAAAATAATTCACAAAAGAAGAATTCGTGAATCATATTAACATACACAATTTTAGAAAATAAATATAATTTTTCTTTATGAAGAAGTCGACCCATTGCAATGATTTTCTACCATTATTTTTATTTTATATGTATCTCTTATTCTCCATCAATTACACGTGTTTTATATTTAGGTACACTATGCTTTAATACAGTTTCATCATAGTTTTCATTTTTTTAGTTTAAGATATTCATAATTATTTTAAAAAAAATTTAAGATTATTTAAATTAAATATTTAGTTTCTATTCAAATATTCGTGAATTAATGATAACTTTAGGATTTGAAATAATTTTTAAGAATTTGGTGGGGGGTTTAATGAAATTTGAAGCTTTTTAAAAGATGTGAGATCAAGATATAAAGTTGAAAATTTCCAGATTTTATTTTTTTATTTATTTTAGGTGAAGTTTTATATTCTTTTCGATAATCTATTTTTATATTTACTTTTTAAATAAAAAGACTTAATTGACTTAGAAGGAAAATAAAAAAAATGTGTCTAAAGAAAAAAATGAAAAAAAAAGGGTGACATGTTCAATAATGCTGCACGTCAGCACCATGGATGTCTTCCACATCCCCATAACGTCGAATAATTTACAATATTCAAATTAAAGTTTTCATAAATTTCACATGCATGTTTTAGAATTTAAAACTTCTAAAAAAAACTTTTAAAGTTGAGGACTAATTCAGGTATCAGTACAAAAAAATTATAGATATCATATACTTATAAATAAAATATATAGAGTAATTTAAAATATATTTTTCTATAAAAAAATATATATATATATATATATATATATATATATTTATATGTTATTTTTAACATCTATTTTTAGTTCTAACTTATTTATCATTTATTCCTATGTAACACAATTATTACAGTTTAAAATCAAGTTAAAATATTAGATAAATTATTAATTCAATTTAAGTAGGTAAACTTTAAATATTATATAAAACAAAATAATTCATATACAATTTTTTATATATTAAATTATATCACATAAACCAATGTCCTCGTAGACTCATAAATATATTATTGAAATACAAATATTAGACGAATTTAAAAAAAAGTATATATTAAATTAGACATTTGTTATATCACAATTCCTGAAGTATTTAATATAAGTCAACTCAATTTATATATATATATATATATATATATATATATATATATATATATATATTTATTAAAGTGAGTGAATTTCTACAATAATTTATCAAGACACAATTTTTCATACCATTATACATTAAGTAATTAGAAAATTCTTTCAACTCTTATTACATCTCAAATAATCAATAGAGTGAGAATACTTATTTGAATCATAAATCAATATCTATATACACTACACCAAATATATAATAATACATCTCATATTATAACACAACATGATTCAAGTGATTAATATAGTGAAAATAACCATTTGAGTCTCAAATTAATATCTATACACACTATATCAAATATACGAGAATACCTCTTAATAGTTCTCATATCACAACATAACATAATAACATTCAAACACATTTCATTTCATGTTCATATTCTAACATCCTAAACCATACACGTAGCATTTCTTTTCTTTTGATCATAATTTTCTATATAAATATTTTTTTTGACTAATTCTTTTTTATATTGGATTTCTCATTTTATGGGCTTCAATTTACACATGGAACACTTAATTTGAAGTTTGAAACTATTTTTTATAATTTTTTTAGAACGGTTAAGCGAATTTAAATTTTGTCAAACAAAATTTGAATGACTAAATAAATTATGCAAACACTTCCAACGTTTGTTTTTATCAAAATTTCGATGAGTGAATTTTTACAAAATTAAGTATTCAACGCTACCTTAAATCCATTAAGCGAAATTAAATCCATTAGGTGGATTCGTAATAATATCAAACTATATAATTTATCAACACATTGTTTTGAATGTTTCAAATCAAATTAAATATAAAAACTATCATATAATTTGTAAACCTATTTCTTAAATTCAATCTAACTACAATATAGTTATACAAAAGGTTATCATTTTTTATCTTATAGGAATCAATCATATATTGATATTTAATGTTCAATTTCAATCATCACAAATTAACACACATACAATAAAATTTTATGTAATTCAAACAATGTGACCAAGTCACATTCATAGTCCATATTTTTTAACCTAAAATACTAAATAAAATTTAAAAAACAACTAGTTTCACTTACCTCGAACATAATTTTTCCAAGTCGAGAGAACCTCAAAATTCGTAAATTACTAAGAAAACATATCATACTCACAAAAAAAAACCTCAATTAATCAATTGAACATACTATAAAACTTTTAAATTAGTCAAAATTCATTTTTTTTTCAACAAAGTCTACATGCATGTTCCTAAGACTCACCTGCAATCCTAACTCTCAACATGTAAAATTGTTTTAAATTTGAGAAAAAAATATTTATTCTATTTAAAATTCTGATCAGCCAAAATAAACTCCTATACGTTGATAACACAAATGTGATTGGATATAAAATATGAGAAGAAGTGAGGTGAGAAAGTTAGAGAGAAAACATAAAAAATAAGTTGTAAAGATAATGATTTTCTAAAAATAAGTTGAATGGATAAATTTTCCTATTTATAACTCTTTTTAACTCAATCGATAAAATTCTAAATTAACTTTTAGTATATCACTTGTACTATTAATTCATTTAAATTACATTCTCAGATAAAAAAATATTATATTAATTATCTTTTAAATAAATTTATATTTAATATCATCATTATAATATTTTATATTTAAAAAAATTACATTAATTTATTCAATCAAAGTAGTTTTTTCATGGGACAGATACGCATGGGTAAACTTATCAAAAATCTAATTAGAATGAACAGATAAAACAATTTGGCAAATTGTCTTATTAATACTAACAAATTTCGGAAACCAACTTAAAGACATAAAAGTTCAAAGTTTATTCGAAAAAATTATTGTAATATTTACTGAATCTTTAAACTTAATATTGTGCATTATTTTATCATGTTTGGAATAATATATGATTATATTTAAGTTTTGTTCGAATAATTTATCATTGGAGATTGAAGAGTGTCAACAATGTTAAAATGAGTGAAAGTAAATGCACATTTTAACAAATCTTCTATTTTTTTCCGTAATTTCATTTTTATTTTCACTACGGGCAGGTATAAAGAAAATTTGACTGTCTAAAGTTATACATCTATGAAAATTTGGAGTTGGGAAATTAGGGTGAGATTGAGATGAAAATTACAAAAATTACTCACATTTTTTTTACACCTTCATTATTAATTAGTTATGTAAATTGATATATTAAATAATTATTTATACAGAAATAAGATATACAAGTTGTTTATTTATACACTTTGCCTCAAAATTGCTACAATTTAATATTTTAAAGAAATGTTTAAAACATATAAAAGTAATGTATTTATAGAGTAAAATTATCTTCGAAAAATATATTTATTATTATTTTTTTAATCTAGTAAAAAATCTCCAACGTCAATCATTATGGATAAGAGGCTATCACTAGCTTATGGAGTGACTGTCTTTTCGAGAATATTCCAAGATTCTTAAAGAGTTTGTATGTAACATGAAACACCCAAAAATGTTTTTAACATAGTGCTGTTCCACCATAATTTAATAAAGCAAAAAAATTATGTCATACTATGACGTAGGACAACAAAATATATTAGCCGCCATATGAACAGCGAACAAGTTCAATGAGAAGTATAGGAAGCAAGAGAGAGAAGGCAAAGAGCATTGTCAGAAGCACTGCCTTCTGCAATGATATGCAAAAGAAGTATAATGCATGCATTATATGAAATTTAATATTGGAAGGCATGTGCCACTGTTTAATGTGGCTCAAAAAATAAGGCTGCCATTTTCCTTCATAATTTTCTAAATAAGTAATATTTGGTCATCATATATCAGAAGCCGCACCACCAGACATCTTCCACCATTATCACATGTATCAGTATGACAAAACCTGGAAAACGAGAAAAATCAAAATTAGTTTTCAGATACAAATTGAACCTTACTTGTACCTTCCTAACAGCAGAAAGTCAACAGAACCTCCAAGGTCTAAAACAACGTTACAAAAAAACACAGAAAAAAATAAACTAAGATATAAATTTGGCATCTCAACAGATGAATGAAGAGTAGACTTACACATGAGGATCTAACTGCTGGAAGAAGATGGGAGAGAAAACAATTGCAACTTAATACTATAAATATAGTGGTAGTGTGGAGTAATCTGTGAAGACAGTCAGCTGAAAAATAACTAATGGACATTATTACTTCCTTCCCTATATAATGTTAGTTTCAGACACTAAAGCTCCATTAGCTCAGTATGATATTCTTCAGTCAGGCCCCTCCAAATTAAGACCATGTACAACCAATTCCAACTCATTCTCGACTTTTCTCCATCTCTACAATCATCGATTCAAAAGTTCGAGAATTTTCATTTGGAGTCTCAGATATTGTTGGTTCCATATCCATTCCGCTATCAGCAGCACTCCCCTCACTTTCTTTATTGGAATCTTCAATGTTACCCAGGAAAGAACTGCCTAGAAAAAGTTGCTCCCATGAACCGTCATCAGGTAAATCTGGTAGGAGAAATGGAGAATGATTTTCTAATGGACATAATTTTTCATCCAGAAGCACTTTCAAGAATTCAGAACTTATGCACAAGTCTTTTAACCCATCTGCAGAGAGCTCAGGTTCTGGTTGCTTTTCGAAAGAAGGAGACAGAGGAACTACAGGCTTTAGTTTTTCACCTACTGGTGGTTTATACTTTATTATCATCCCATCAGAAGCAATTGGCTTGTCGTCTTGTTTATCTTGATCTAATACATTCCATGATTCAGACAAACGCCAATTATTTTCCTTAGGATGAAGGAGTTGAACCAGGAATCCAGGACTTTGGACGACCATGACTAAGAATGATAACATCTGCTGCTGATGCTTTTCCATTCCTTGAAGGCGATCACTCAGGAGCAGCAACTTATTCTCAGCAGATTCCTGGTGTTGCCTGAGTTTGACTAACTCCTGGGTCAGCGAATTTTTATCAGATTTGAGATTCTCAACTTCTTTCCAAAGGCCATGAGTTGGTGTCACTGGCGATGGTTCATCACAATTGTCATTCTGAGATAATGTTTTTTGCTGATCTGCAGCAATTTGTGGATGTTTCCTTCTGTGTATATTCTTCAACAATTGCTTTTGATCCCTAACAAAGTTTTCATTGGCAAATTCCCAGCAATCCGTATCAATTTTCCTGAAACCCTGATAGATATTACAGTTACCAATTAGTCACTGAGAAAAAGACTCCCCCTCAACCTTAACAAATGACACAATGTAAGGAAACTAACATATAGAGGTACCAAACATGCACACCAATATAAACAAGCCAACACTCGTTAGATATTGTAGCTTCTCACAACGTCAGGTGTTCTTTAAGATGCTTTTAGTCTATAATCAACAAGGAGCTCCAAGACTATGTTATTATGGAATATAACGAGGCCAGTTCAGAAAGTAATAACTACTATCTAGGTATAAAGTCACTAATAAGGGAATGGAACAGTAACTTTTATCCTGAGACTGCATGTTTGAATTAAATTTGTAAACATAAGTTTGAACTATTCTAATTCTCCATTGATGGTGTGTATGGCTATCAATTGATATAAACCTAAATTCAACCTGCAAGACAGAAATTTATGTTTCTATTTTTCATGCTTTAGAATGAGTGAACATTAGTTTGCATAAGCTAACCAATAGATATCCTTTTGAGTTTGCATAAGCAATATTCTTATCGCTTCATACTTTGGAGGAAACCAAACATGTCTCCAAAAATAATGAATAAATCAAACGAAGGAACAGTCTAACATCTTAAGAGCACAAAACGAATTGATGAGCGGGTAAAACTCATCCGAACGAATACCAATTTATTTTGCATCCAGCTGAGTGCACATTTTCAAAGACTCACTCAAAAGAAAGGGTTTTAAACAGCATGCAAGAATTATATATATCAAACAGCGAGTTTCTGCATCACAACCATAACCTAATTTTTTAAACACCACAACAATTTCAGGCACTCTGCAAGAATATTGAAATAGAAGTCAATCTGCGAATCACACAATCAGATGAAAAAAAATTAACTATAAACATGCGAAGCAATGATTCATTCATTTAGTTTATTTTCAGATGGTAATATCGAGAGTTACGAGAGAAACAAAGAACAAGAAACAGAATTGAATTCTTGAAGAAAAGAGAGAAAGAGACGAACATAGATATTGAGCTGTCTAATGAAACTGGAGAAATTGTTGTGTTTGAAATAGGTGGGAAGGAGCGTGACGGAGAATTGAGTGGTGTCGGAGATGACGAAACTATCGCCGCCGTCGCTCCAACGGATAACGGAGTCCGTGTTCCGGTCTTCCACCATATCGTAACATTTTTTCAAAAACGGGGGCACCGAACCGGAACCAAAACCATTTTCGTTGGGTTTCACCATCGCAAAGAGAAGAGGAGAGAAGAGAGAAGAGCGAAAAGAAGACTTGAAGGTCGCGAGCTGGAAATGAAATTTGTGTGCGGCTTCTTATGTACCGTCCCGGCACTTTCCAACCTTTTTTCTTTTGCAGGGGTTTTGGAATCAGATATTTTATTTATGGACAAAATAAAAAAAGTATATTGTTTAATTAAGTTTAATTTTTATTATTATAATATTTTAAATTATTTTGATTTGAGTCGGTTCAACTCTCCCTATGTATTACTTGCACAAGGAGTCATCGTTTCGTTCCAACTGAAACGGTCCAATTGCAAAACTTTTCAAATTATATAAAAATACTTTAATGTGTCAGTCACTGAAATTATAAATAATTAATTTTAAATGCATTACAGATGACCCTGGTGTACCACTTATCAAATCATACAAATATGCATTGTGTGAATTTTTTTCTTTCTTTTTTATCAAAGAAAAAAGTCAAAACAAATAATTTATGGACAAAAATCTGATACATGATTTTTGTTTTACTTAAATAATAAATGAACTTTTATTACTTAAAATAATTAACACATTATTCAAAACTACAGTTTGTTAAGATTAATTAAAACAAAGGAGTAAAGGCAAATGTTAATGATATAATAAATTTGTCCACCAAAACAACAAATATCAGATTTGTTGTTGAAGTCATTGATGATAAAATTGGATTGTTTAGTTTAATCATTTATGTCATGAAATTTTACTTTCTAGTTTTATTTTGTTTATGTTATTTATTTATTGCTTTCTACATTTATATAACCAATTGAAATGATTAAACTATTAATTAATGGCATAATAATTTTCTTTTATGACACTGATTGAATTTTTAAATAATTATTTGTATTATTTTCACATACTATTTTTAACCTGTTGTTTAATAACCCACATTAAATTTAATAATAATAAAATATTATAAAAGGAATGTGTAAAAAAAAAAATTAATGATAGGGCAAATTGTGCATCAAGTCAAATTATTTGGGTTTTTGTATTTTTCTGGCAGATACATTACATTGTTCAGGTTGTTGATATCCTCTACAGGCACAGGTTGAGGTCATATGTAAAGTTTTTATGGAATTTAAATGCAATTTTTTTATGCTGTACTAAAGTTTTAACCTAAAGTATAATTATTCGAACATTCTATTAGTGGATTAATCTTAATGAGTTTAGAATGCCATGTTATTCCTTAAATAACTTATATTTACTTTTATACATTTAATAACTCTTATGTAAAATATAAATTTAGCTAATCATTATTTTCGCGGTTTATGCCAGTTAATGAAAAAAATGTGATTTTTTTTTCATACATCTTACGCACATGCCAACATTAACTTGTGTCAATGAAGTATTAAATGGTTTTGAATTATAACAAAAAAAAAAGGTTTTAAATTATAAGTTATACATAAAAATTTTCAATCCAACGTTGAATTTGATATCTAATTAAAATATTAAAGAATATAAGAATAAGAATAACTTACTCCAATATGAATAGAATATTAACTTTTTTTTCTATTTTTTTACACTATCCATCCCTCAAATATTAATCAAAGTATATTTTTTAAGTAATTATTATAAAACTTAATAAATTTATCATACATTATTTAAATAAGTGATTAAATGATAATATACAAAATAATAATTTTATAGATCAATTCCTTCTTTATGCGTTGGGCTGATAATATACTTTTATTTATTTATTATAAGAAAGTAACAAATTCAACTTTAAAAATATATTCTAAAATTTTAAATTATCAGTCATTAATATAGTCTTAAAAAGAAGTGAAAGTATTCCCAACACATAATCAATTAACACCCCTTATATGCATGAAAGTTTTGTGGTTCAGTAGAAGGGACTGATTATATGCCCTATACATTCCCACTGAACTGAATTTGATCTAGCAGAAACAACCTCTCTTCATGCTCGAATAAAGTGAAATATTTGACCCTCTATGGGGCATCAAATGGTTACCTTGTGCATTAGACTTACTCCTTTATTCCTGAAAATGATGAGGGAATTTCTTTGATAAGATTATTGACCGAAGAGCTATGAAAAGATATTCATGCAATCTAAACACCAAGATTTACCTTCTGAGTCTCTGACCCTTAAATCTGCATCCTCCAAGTTCACGAGTTCTTATCCACCAAGACTTGGATATTTGATCTAGTTTAACGTTAAGGACTAAGATCAGGAAAATGCTCTAAAAAAAATCATCAAAGGATGAAATACTGTTTAAATTATGCACTAAAGAAGTACAGAAAATGATAAAAGAATTAAAATTCCTTCATTTTTCATTTTTTTTCTTGACAACAATACAGAACAATCTAAAGCAGCTTTTTTTCCAGAATTTATCAACGGTGCTGAAAATTATAAGCAAATAGGTAGCCTGGTGAATTCTCAAAGTTTGTTGATCTCAATTCAAGCTGGAAAAGTCTAAATCCATAAGCAAGCAAACTGATAGAATGCTAATTTCCTTCGCAAAATCCTGCTATCTCTTGTAGATTTTCACAGAGAAATTGTTCTTCTTATCTTGCCAATTAATTTAAGAACTAGCAAGCAATTACATAATCTAAATATTATGTTTTCCTTAATTTTCATATTATATCCATGGAATATTTTATATTCATGCAACATAAACTATTAAAGGAAAAGCATAAATAGTTCATAAAAGAAAATACTTCTAAAATGAATTAAAAAGGATATTTGAAGAATGTTACCTTCAGTCAGGCAGAAAAGATTGGTGTCCTTCAGCAGTCTGCATCTGGAAACAAAAATGGAAAAACAACAAAATTCTTGGTCAAATTTACAAATACCGAGAAAGGATAATTAAGAAGTCAATAAACTCGATAATTAGATTAAGGCTACCCATGTTCTTCCATCAGAGTTACAAAAGAAGTTGAATAGCATTTTGCTCTGTTCATAAGCCTTGCTGCTCTTCTTTGACGAAAAATATGGAGGAGAAACAGAAGACATATAATCTCTAAGAACTCCTTAGTAAATTGTAACTCAAAACAGCCCTAGCTTAAAAAATTAATGTTATTGAATCTTTGTAATTTTAGTTCTCTGTAATCTACAATGGTAGTATACTGGCACAGAGAAAGACATTGGGCACTGTGAAGACTCATCAATGACACTCAGAACTCAAATGCGCGTCTTTTACATAATTTCGTTAATATTTCGGTTGAATTGATTTTGTAGGAAATAGGTAATGAAATAGATAAAGTAATTGAACACTCACAATGATGTTTCAGGTAAGCAATCAGTACTCGATTCAAAATGCTTACATGAAATTAGACAATGTGTAATCAGGATCCCAACTTCCAAGCCCTCTCTTCAACAGGCTGAGATCACACGAGCCTCATAATCTCTAAAGCAATTTGATGGCATGGCAGCCAACTTCTCAGCCCATTTTTTGCCTTGATTACAGTCTGTCCTTTTTACATTGATTTAGTATAATTTTTAATACCCCTCTCAGCTTAGCAATGCTTATGCAGCTATAATGTCGGCATGCTTGGTTTCCACTTTCTAGTCATCGTTTTTATTTCACCAGTAATCCCCACATGAACAAGACCCATTTCTAAAATGGTGAAATCGGCTACTATCCCTCACAATAATTTCCCTAGCAACTATCTTTGCCATGAATTTAATTGCAGCGTGGCAATCCACGCACATCCGTATATTCTTTATTACACGAATGGTTGTGCCAGCAGTAGTGCTAATGATGCCAAATACTATCGCAAGTCTCTCACTGTGGGTGCGTAATAGGTGGCGTTTATGTTCCTCATCAACATCATGGAGTACCTCCTTTGTGTCAAGGACATAACCTTCTTTCTCCATCTGTTCCAACAAAATATTCAATGCTTCATTTATTTTGTCATAATATGGATGCGATTCATCTCCAGCCAGAAAAGTGTGTACTTTGTTTCCAACCTCAATCCAGCTGCATCCTGGAGTCTTCTTCAAGCCTTTTTTCCTCATGTGGACTCTCAGTTTTGCAGCATCTCTCCATCTTTGGGCAGCTGAATAGATGTTTGACATCATAACATACGCACCCTTGTTCTCAGGGTCAACCAAAAGTATTTTGTCAACAACCTTTTCAGCCAATTCAATATTCTTATGAGCCCTACAAGCAGCTAACAATGTTGACCACACACTTCCTGTTGGTTCCACTGCCATGTTAGAAATAAAGTCATAGGCTTCCTCCAATCTTCCAGCCCTACCAAGCAGGTCCGCGACAGCAGCATAGTGCTCCAGGCCAGGAGCAATACCAAAATCTGATTGCATACTGTTAAAGTACTTCCATCCTTCATCCACCAACCCAGAATGATTACAGGCAGTTAAAACACCCATAAATGACACATAACAGGGCTTCACTCCAACAACTAACATCATCTCAAACAGGGAAACTGCATCAAAGGCATGCCCGTGCATCGCACATCCCATAATGATGGCAGTCCAAGAAACTATGTCTCGATCACGCATCTCTATTCTGTCAAAAATATACCTAGCCATTTTAATATTACCACATTTGGCATACATGTCCACCAAAGAGCTAGCTATAAACTTGTTATCATCAAACCCAAGTCTAACTATATATCCATGAAGTTGCTTCCCCAAGTTCAAGGCTGCCAAATGGGCACAAGCCGGTATAACACTCGAGAATGAAACCTGCATTGGCTTCACCTTTTCCTTCAACATTTGACGAAAGAACCTGAGCCCTTGATCAAAACTCCCATTCTGCACACAGCCAGCAATGATGGAGTTCCACGAAATGGCGTCTCTGTGGGACGAGAGGTAAAAGGCACGAACCGAAAGCTCCACTTGAGTACATTTCGCATACATATCAATCAAGCTACTTCCAATGAAAACATCCTTGTCAAACCCGTGTCTAACGGCATAGCCATGAATTTCCCTTCCTTTGGTGACATCAACATGCTCCGCAAAAATAGGAAGAACGCTAGACAAAGTAAAGGAATCAGGCCTCAAGTTTTGTTTCCCCATTTCCCTAACCATGTCCAGCGCCTCTTCATACAACCCATTCTGCGCATTCCCAGCAATAACAGTGTTCCACGAAACAACATCCCTCACAGGCATTCTGTCAAACACCTTTCTAACACTGTCTATTTTTACAGTAAAATTACTATTATAATTGTTATTATCATTACTAGTAATATTATAATCATTATGGTTTTGGCGCGTCTGGGGAAATTGGTCGAACACGTGGTTGGCGGAAAGGCGAGGGTGGTGGAATTTGGAGTAGACGTTCATCAACGCGTTGGCGGTATACAATTCGAATTGGAAGCCGAGGCGAATGGCGGAGGCGTGGAGCGACTGTGCGAGAGGGAAGTGTTTGAGGAGCGTGGACGCTTTCAGGAGGGTAGGGAACACGTGGCGGTCGGGGGAGACGCCCGAAGAGCGCATGAGGTTGAAGGTGGCGAGGGAGTGGCGGAGGAGGCCATGAGCGGCGTAGCATTTGATGATGCAGATCCAGGCGAGGGAGAGCGAGAGCGGCGCTGCTCTGCTCTTCACCATTTGCGCGTGCAGCTGTTTCGCCTGCCACGTGGAAACCGCCGTGTTTGGGCTCCGGAGAATATTTCTTGTCACATTTTGGATGGAACTCATGGAAGGGTTTGAGATCAATGAAATTTAACGTATCTTCGTACTTATCATTGAACATAGTTAAATTCACAAAATACATACACATTGTAAATATTAAAATCAACTAAAGTTAGGATCATAAGTTTTTCAAAAAAAATAAAAAAATATATTTATTTTCTTAAATTGTATAACACGTAAAATGATGTTTCAAAATATTTTGTAGGTCAACACGAAGTCATGCATGGTGGTGGCCACACTGGTTTCTTGTACTATTATGAGAAGAGAAAACGTACGTGTCGGTCCTAGCTTCAACTTGGTGCCATTATAAAATTATGTTCACACACACCAATCAAATTCCTTTTTTAACGTTTATATGATAATCTGACAAAATTTTTTTACACATAAGAAGTTAAACTATTGAAAAAAAAAAAAAAGTTATGTGTTGTATTCATAATTTCGTATATGAACAAAAAATTTATGTTACAACTTTTCTTCCAAACAAAAATCAAATACTGTATTTTGAATGTATATAAAAATGAAAATTGAATCCTAGATTTTGACCATAAGAAACACTCATGTACACACACGGTGTGTGACATAGAAAAGTTGCCTGAGAATTCAGGTAAGCCATATTGAAAATAAGAGGAGACGTGATCTTCTGTGATTTTAAACCATACATAAATGACCACAATTTGCAATCAACTTGACAAATTAGGTTTCCAAAATGACATAGAAATTTATCCAACCTTGTCACAAAATTAATTTATAAAACAATATGTTTTATTATTAAATATTTTTTCTTAATATTACTTCCCTCAAAATTTCTAAACAAATGATATAATTGAAAGATAGAGTCATTAATTTAATTTACTATTTAATAATTGAATATATAGCACACGACAAAATCTGAAACCAAAGCCTGATATCATGGTCCTGTTGTGTGAATGGTATTCAATATTTTCTATGTTTCCTTCCTTCACACAGAAGCAGTTAAAACAGAAGAGCCAAGACCCTGTCGTGGTTCCAAGGCTGAAGTAATGATAGTCAAACCTAAAACTTGGAATAAATTATGACTTCAATGATATGAACACGAGAGAACTAACCATTTCTTAAATAAATCTTTCAAGCACTTACAAACAACACATTATTTTTAATTTAATTTCGATAATATCTATAAAATTAAATAATTTATGAAGTTATAATATTTAACAACACAATGTCTTGTATTTGTTATAATTAGGATAAAAAAATTATTGACTTGTTTCTTATATGACGGTCTTTTCATAAAAAATGTTTTGTTTTAGTATAATATAAGCCACAATTGTTAGTTTCTTTATCACCAAAGTACGTAAGTTGATTTACTCCATCATTAATAATCTCAAATTTAAATCTTAATAATTTTGTTGTTATGGATGGATAAATTATTTAATTAAAACGATTTTATTTTATTAATTCAAGCAGCGTTGTATCCGTTGAAACATGTGGCTCGTACCCAAAAGTATATTTTATTTAACAGAAGTTTGCCAGAAAAAAATATTTAATTTCTCCAAAACATAAATTTAAGAAAATTTTATGGTTGATTTGTCCTTTAAGAAAACATATTACTGCTATAAATATATTTGAATATTGTAATAAATAATAAATTCTAATAAAAACAACACAATAATCTTGAATATTTAGAAATATTATATAAATATTTTTAACTCACCAAATTATCTTTGATCATTTATAAAAATAATTAGTAGAATTCATAAGAATCATTATTCTTATGAAAAAATAAAAACCTTTTTTTCATATTTCCATTTCATTTCTTAAAGGAGAAAAGTTGGTCTATATATATATATATATATATATATATATATATATATATATATATATATATATATATATATATATATATATATATATATATATATATATATATATCATCAGTTGACAGTTTCGTAGGAAAAAAACAGAAAAATGGACGAAGGCATTGTTGAGAGGGCGCTGAATAGTTTAGGAAAAGGCTTCGACTTGACCTCAGATTGCAGGCTCAAATTCTGCAAAGGCGAAGAGCGTTTGGTTCTTCTCAACGAAACCGAGAAACGAAAACTCACGGTGCCAGGTTTCGGACCCATCGGCGATGTCTCCGTTGACATCAAATGCGACAAGGGCGAATGCACCCGCTACCAATCCGACATCCTCACCTTCACCCAAGTAAGACATTCATTTCATCAAACACTTTGTGGTCAAATGGTGAAAAACGAAATTGAAAATGAAAATGACGAAATTTGGCTTCTGGGTTTGTAGATGTCAGAGCTCTTCAACCAGAAGAGTTCGATCCCTGGGAGAATCCCATCTGGGTACTTCAACACCGTGTTTGGGTTTGATGAATGTTCGTGGGCAACTGATGCTGCAAACACCAAGTGTTTGGGTATTGATGGCTATTTTATGAAACTCTTCAATGTTCGTATTGATCGGTACCCACTCGTTCTGTCTCATCAAGTCCTTGAAGCTGTTCCTTCTTCCTGGGATCCCTCTGCACTTGCAAGGTAATAATAATTTCTATTTCTACCAATTATCTTCTTCTAATAACCTTTTTTTATTTACATATTAATGTAAATAAATTCCCCATAAAGATTGAAAGTAATGTTAAACTGCCCCACAATGAACTGACCTCTGGTTTATGTGTACATCACATCCATTACTGCCATTCATGGTAGTGGTTGACCACTTTATCTAAACCTGCTTTTACCACCACTAGTGGACGAGGCAATTCATAAACTTTAATTTTACTGATTATACTCCTTTAATCTAAATAATTAGATAATATAATGGTTTCAGAGTTTATTTTCTGTTTATCATCAGTGTAAAAAAGTTGTATCATCATTAAATTATAAATTATCTACATGACTCAAATTTATGATTTACATCAGTTTATAGTTTGATGACAGTTTAAAATTTACAAGACACAACTCAAACACAGTATTACAGAAGTTATTCATGAATAAAAATTAAAGTTTTACGTTAACAGTGACAACAACATTCAATAAAAATTTTCACTACACAAATAACATCGTCTTTACAATTGTACTAAATTTTGTCCTTCTTTATAGTCAGTAATTTTAAACTTCCATGGCACACAAATGCTTAACTTGCTGGACCTGTACGTTAGCTTAAGTTGAAGTGGTCCCTTCCATATTTTCTATTTTTCATTGCTTCATTCTTCTTGTCAACTCCGTTATCATTGGCTTTCACTCTTTCATAATTTTATTAACACGTATACATACGTACATGACTTTTGCCATTTTTGCATTAATGTATTAACTAATATTTCAAAACTGGTTTATAATTTCAACTATTTGAGATTTTCGAAACTATTTTAAAAGAATGCGTCACATTCCCCCATGATCGAAACTGGAGAAATTTTATCTCTACAAACTTTGAAAATTTGTTGTAAATAGTTATATTTTTCCCCAGTCAATGATACTCATGGAAAATAATTTAAAGTATTCACTAGATTGGATTGTTTTTCTTATATGAAACTAAGTCAGAAATTACATTAACGATGAGTGTATACTAATAATTTATATATAGTCCAAATTGTATTGAATTTATAGGCTTCTAGCTGGAAAGTAAAAGGAAAATTCACAAAAATTGTATCTGAATTTCCTTTTCCACTTTTGTCTCTCGAGTGAAACATTTCAGAATATGCGTCATGCGCCAGAAAATTATTGGATTAAACTTATAATTTTCTTCGTTTTTCGGATGATTATAACTAGTTCTTTTTTTTTTGTATATAAAAAACTAGAAGCAATTGTTATTTTTAAGTATTGACTAAATTAGAATATATATATATATATATATAATTCATAAACGATTATATACTAATTGTTATGGAATTATAATAAAATTTGTGTTGGATTTGGAGGTTGCTTGGTAGCTGGCTAGCTGGACAACCATAATTATTTTTTATATCCTAATCGCAATCTCTTCTATTATTAACAAAACCTATTTACACTAACATGTATTGTTGTATCCTTTTCATATCAGTGGATCAGTATTGAGTACAAGTCAATCGTTTACCCACATATTTTACAAATAATTATGATAACGACATCACAATGATTTTGGACATTTCTAATGGAAAACGTAGGATCGAGGCTAACGTTAGATCATCACGGATGTTTGATGATTATCTTCCACTTTACATATTAACAGTTAGAATTTAAAGGATTTCAGAAAAAAAATGTTGGGTTTTATTTTAATATGCGAAAAAACAGTTGGCTAGAAATACTTGTAGAGCTACGTTCAAATTGTAGCAAACTTCGAGCCGCAAAAAAATTATTAAAAGGATTGAAGTTTAAAATATCTTATTTGAGTGGGCAACCCTTGACTATGCATAAGGGTTTACATCGGAAACGCTGTTAACCTAACTGTTGACTAAAATTGTTCTGCATACCTATTATGATGGCCAACCCTAAAAGAGCTTGTATGAAAAGTTAACTCTTCTCTGAAATTGAAAACTATCAAGTGTTTTTGTTTAGCTGTTTTACCTTCCGTTTTTCACATGAGAAATTACAGGTGGCTGAAGAAAATTAATGAATTCACATTGAAGGGTTTTACAAACACATACTCCGTTCTATATTTTATTGTTTGATAAACTTGAGATTTAAATTATAGAAACTAGACATGGTATTCAGTTCCTTGATTGACGTTGATTCAAGGTGAAATTTAATCAGATTCATTGAGAACTTCGGGACACACATCCTTGTGGGGCTTAGCATTGGTGGCAAAGATTTAGTGTTGGTCAAGCAAGACGTGTCTTCCAGCTTGGAGCCATCAGAGCTGAAGAAGCACTTGGATGAGCTTGGAAATCAATTATTCACTGGAACATGCAGTTTCCTTCCAAAATCCAAAGACCAAAAATACAAGGTTTCCTTCGTGTATATAATAATTCATCAAGATATTTTGCAAATCAGAATCAATAAAAAAGGCACTAATATGTTATGCTGAAACACAGGTACCACAGGCTTTTGATGTCTTTGGTCCACAAATTGTCGCCTTCAATAGCTCTACATCCGTTTGTGCAAAAGATGTAGGTTCTACTTACTCCAATCCATTCCAAATAATAATTTTCCAATCTTCATGAATAGTTGAATATTCAATATTTTAATGCTGAGAAATTTGTAACCAGGAATTCAGAAATAATATTATAGATAATTGAACATGTAGGGAATTACTGTGATATGTGCGAAGAGGGGAGGGGATACCCTAGTGAGTGACCATAGTGAATGGCTTCACACAGTTCCGAAGAAGCCGGATGCTGTTGATTTTTGCTTCATTCCCATCACTTCTCTTCTTAAAGATGCTCCTGGCAAAGGCTTCCTATCCCATGCCATCAACCTCTACCTACGATGTAAGTTTTATTTTAATTAAACGTATTTTCTTTCAGTCACTTTTTAAAATATTATTAGTTTCAAATTAAGATAAATAACCTATTTGATATTCTAAATTTGTGAAGCGTTATCAATTTAGTTCTTGAAAAACAAAATATTTATTTAGTCCTTGAATATATAAAAGTTTCTTTTTTTCATGGAACTATTTGACTATTAAAATATAATTTTAAGAACTAAGTTTATAATAAATCAAATATTATTTTATCAAAAAGTTGCGATATTAGGGACCAATTTAACAAATTTTCCATTTTTCCAAGAACCAAAATAATTATTTAACCTTTAAACTAAATCAAACATGCATATAATTATAATTTGGACTCCTCTCATATTCCAAACCAATAAAAAATTACTTGTCAAATACTCTATGTACCCTTAATTGAATCGTTAAAATATTTGAACTTTGAATATGTTGTTCCCCACGATTTAACATCAAACACACAACAATGCTAAATTATATGGACGAATTCTTTAGGGAATTCAATATTAATGACATGATTTTATAACCAATAAAATGTCGGGGTGTTGAAAACTCAATCATGTGTGACCATTTGAAATTTTGTCTCGGTTAGCAATTCAATAACTAGTATTCGTGTAAACTAGCGGATCTGAAAAGCCAATATCATAAATAATTGCCTAATATTTTCTTGTTTTCAAAATTGAGTGATATCTCAACTGAATGGTCATACATAATAAATTCTACCTGATACAATAAATTAGTATATAAGTTTTAGAAAAAGCTTATTTGACTTCAAAATTGAGACAGCAGTTTTGATTTTAACTAAATGAGAACGAAATAAGTTCATGCAAAAGGCAGATTTGCCATACTTTTTTGACTTGTTCCAAGCACACAGGATTTGAGGTCCCATTCACAATGCTTACAATGTTTATCCTTTCATTCTTCACCAGGCTGTCACTTTGTGGTTGTTAAACTAATAAAATGAATTTTATTCATATCGATTGCAGATAAGCCTCCGATGTCAGATTTGCCATACTTTCTTGACTATCAATCACACAGGCTTTGGGCTCCCATTCACAATGATCTTCCACTCTGTCCTGTTACAAACCGAACCACCTCTTCACCATCTCTCAGTTTCAACTTGATGGGTCCCAAGCTTTATGTAAACACGTCAAAGGTACTTTCAAATTATTTCCTATCAAGAATTAGACTTTTTCATGTTCTTCTGACTGAGAGTAAGTAAGCATCTTACTCATGACAGGTAACAGTTGGTAAAAGGCCAATCACAGGGATGCGCTTGTTTCTTGAGGGCATGAAATGCAACAGGTTACTTTCACACTACTAGTACTTATTCCTTGGCTTAGTTACATTTTTATTTTCGCATTTTCTCATCTAATTTCATCCAATATTTAAAATTTCAGAATGTAAAATCATACTTTTATTATTTCTTGTTATCATAAAAACAATATTCCACCTTCAAGTGTCGATAACATGACAAGTCAATACTTAAAATATTATATGTTTTTTAGTTGTTACATTCTTCTTATCATGACTTAAAACTTAAATATTGGATGAAATCAGACATGAGGGAATTTGATTATAAATGGAAGAAAAAGTTAAGGGACCAATTGATGCAATTAAGATTCAAATCTCACAATCATAAAATTGATATGTGATAGAGTAAAAATACAATTTAGTCCTGTTGCTTTTAGTTCTGTTCTGTGTAACCATCAATCTTAGCTAAGAACGTGTGGTCAATGAGTGGTGCTCACAATGATGTTTGGTGACACAGATTAGCCATACACGTGCAACATCTATTGAACACTCCAATAATGCTCATCGGCAAAATAGAGAACGCCTCAATATGGTCAGAAGAAATCACTGATGACCGTTTCTTCGAAGCAATCAATGGGAAGAAATTTTCCCACGTATGTACAGCACCAGTGAAATACGACCCTAGATGGAGCTCTGATAAGGATGTGGCCTTTATAGTCACAGGAGCCCAACTTCATGTGAAGAAACATGACTCAAGGAGTGTCCTTCATCTAAGGCTGTTGTTCTCTCAGGTGTCTAATTGTGTAGTTGTAAAATCAAGTTGGACACAGGGCTCCTCCGGGTTATCACAGAGGTCTGGCATTTTCTCAGTGATAAGCACATCAATTTCTGGTAAAGACCAGAAAAAACCAGTTGTAGTTTTGGACTCCAGTGTGTTTCCAACAGGACCTCCAGTGCCTATGCAAAAACAAAAGCTGTTGAAATTTGTAGACGCCTCACAGCTGTGTAAAGGTCCACAAGATAGTCCTGGCCATTGGTTGGTCACTGGGGCAAGGTTGGTCTTGGACAAGGGTAAGATATGCTTATGGGCTAAGTTCTCTTTGTTAAATACTGGTTCATGACATGTCAATGCACATGTCCAAGTGAAAAATTTAAAAGGCAAATATATTTTTTTTTTCAAATTATATATATCTGTAAATTATCACATGCAAATCCCAACTATGAATATGTCCTTGTCTAGTTAATATCTTTATAAGCTGCAAGATATACAGAAGTAGTTATAGGAACAATTATTTCTTTCATTTGTACTGTAAGTAGCTTCCAACAAAGTAAAGGATTTACAAGATTGTATATTTCTGAGAACATACTTATGTCTAAGCACACTGCTGTTGAGATTTAGATTCTCCTCTACACTTTTATTTGTATAAGATTTGGTAGTGCACTAAAATCAGACATGAAATGACACTTTTATATACATATTGATGCTACACTTTTTAAATGTATGTTGCATTTTTTTTCACATAAAAATATTTAAGTTCAACAGTCAGATACTCGTACTTTTCCAAGTGTATATAATTTATAAAGATTTCGTTTTTATATTGAAAAGTCTAATTATTTACTACTAATTATGTCTACCTTGAAGTTTATATTCTCTATTTATTGTTTATCTACAGAAGTTTGAAAGATATCATAAATTTTAGAAAGAAAAATATAAAAATCTTTTTACTGCCATGTGTCTTAACTCTGCCAAATTTAATGAGTAATAGTAATAAAAATCTCTACCTGTGTATTGTTTTAAAAAAAAAAAAATTAAATAGTAAGTAATATGAAATTATACAAAAAACATTATTTTAGTTTACCATTTATATATCAAACCTATAACAAGCATTTATTCATATCACCCCAAGATTCTAACATTCAGGCAAACTCCACAACTTTGTATCACCCAATGGCTATATCACCCTCATTTACTTTAAATATCGGACAACATTACCATGAACACACGGCGAAAACCAAAATCTCGTCTTCCTCAGAATGTAGAACAAAAACAGAGCAATAACCGGTCGTAGTGTTTTCTTCTAAGTAGCATTCACTTTAGGTTATTGAGATTATGTTTTCGTGACAAGAATTATATTTTATTATTTGCTTTCTTGATTGAAATAGGAACTTTTTACCGTGGTATGAGTTAGTTTTTGCTTCTATTTTCATACAAGTATTGTTTTCCATATGGATGATGTGCGTCATGAATTCTGCCTCCGCCTGTTTTCACATAACAGTTCATATGACATATTTAAATGCAAATAATTCATTCTGATGAATACAAAATGCTTTATTTGAATTAATGACCAAGAATTATATCTATCGAAGTGAACAAGAAGAAAAGTGACGTGTTCTTTCTGGCATGTTATCTTCTTGGAAGGTCATATTCTAAAAAAACAAAACATTATTCAATACTAAAAAACCAATTCGTCCATTCCATATGTTTTTTCGTTGTCTTATTCTTCAGAGTAACTTCTTCGTTTCTTTCTATAACACTCTGTTGAAACATATACTGTCTAAAATTGTTTCAAGATTTTCTACATTGATTGTTATGTTAGCTTAAATTTAATATCTTTAACAGTTTGATGTATGGTAAAGTGAAAGAAGTATCAGTTTGATAATATTTGAAATTCTAATTTTTAATTCCTTGTGTCAACAAAGTTTTTCAACTATGAATTTGGGCTTGATTTGGACAATCACAATTTAATATATCATAATTTCTTTGATGTAGTTTTCCTGTTACAATAATATATTTAACATTTGCAAATGATTTTGACCCACAATTCACAGGAATGCAGTTTTTCCTTCTTCTTCGAACCACTTCGGTAAATTAAGGATTCACAATTTTTTTAATTAAATTTTTTCATTATTGTTTAATATGTTTAACTGTTATATATGACAAGCTTAAGTCGTAATTCCTAAAATAATTTACCTATGGGAAGCTTAATTTTCAAAGCACCAGTTTTCTCTAGATTTTTTTTTAATATTTTATAAAACTTTTGCTTTTAAATATCAGTTTTTCATATTTTATTTCTCTTAGACATTCCTTTTTACTAACACATTTACATTTAAATAATCATTCAAGTATTATATTTTTGCTTTTTTTGACGTTCATAAAATTTTATTATTTTCAAAATTTTCATATTTTAAAACATTAATTTTCTAATTGTTTATGTTTATCAACATTTTATTTTTATATATAATAACATAATTTCGTAAAAATATATTAATAATATAAATTTTCCAATCATCACCTAATCACATAATACCCTATATGTTAAAGTTTAAATTTTGAGTAGGAGTATAAAATTTTCTGTGGATGGAAATTAAATTAGTGATTGATTATTTTAAAAAAAATCTTGCTTTTTGAAGGAAAATATAGGATTTTATGCTCTTTAGTTGTGTTATTCTATTCATCCCCTTGATAGAGATAGTGTGATTCGGATTCGGTGAGTCTGTGAGGTTCTTAGGTAAAATTATGCATGAATTGAAAGCATGATCTTTGATTGAAGCCAACAGGGAACCCTATAATTTAATTTGCGTTCACATGTGCACATCGTGACGTGCATACCGATTGATATTAACAATAAATGGTATAAAATAGTTCGATACATTGCATTGATTAGTTGGCATGAAGTTGTTGACTTTCTCAAACTGCATATCTATCCTCTTGTTGGTTTTTGCTTTCTTCTTCTATTCTCATACGTATCCATCAACTCCCTCCCTCATGGCTGAACAATCTTCTAAGTCCATTTACGACTTCACTGTGAAGGTTCGTTCTTTTTTTTTTTTTTTTTTGCCTCTGCTTAGAAATTGTTGCCTGTATCATACCCAGTTGTTGTTTCTTGCTGATTAGTTGGAAGGACTGTGCCTTGTTCATGCCCAATTGTTTTTGCACTCTAATTGCATGGTGGATGGGTAAAGATATTCTATGAAATATCGAATAGGTTAACAAAAGGGCACACTATGATGATAGAATTATATTTAGTTGCTTCTGATTTAATATTTTTTGTATTTCAATTTTTTAGAAAAGTACTGATCTAATAGTTTGCTTCACCAAAACTGCAGAATTTAGATTTGTTTTCCCTAATATTTTTTATGATATTCACGGCAAATGAATTGAGTTTGAGTTCAGGATATTCTTGCTGATTATTGGTATGTGTCTAATTCTGTATAACATATGTGTTTATCCTATTAAATTTGCTGGGACAAGGCTGGTTGATTTTGATGTTATTGATTTTATTGTTAATGCACCATCTACTGTGTTGACCCCGTTAGTACTTAACTGCTTGGCTGAAGTTTTTCTTTGATAATTTACTTTTGTTTCTGGTGTGAACTATATTTGCAGGACATCCGAGGAAATGATGTGAGTCTGAATGATTACAGTGGGAAAGTTATACTGATTGTGAACGTTGCCTCGCAATGGTGACATAATTTGATTCAAGCTGATAAATTAATTTTGGGTCATTTCATTTAGCCATATACTAATTATTTTGTCTGCTAATCACTGTGCTTCATATTGTTCTTTTTTTTTGTGTATGATGTTTTCCATTTTTTTTTTAATGTTATTATTAGATTAGAAAATATTTTCAGTGACAGTTGTATTCAGGAGATAGTTGGAGTAGGATTTATTGGCGAGAAAGTAGAAGAAACTTACTTAAGGTATTTGATTATGGTTTTAAAGACCAACCAGGTTCCACTTAGAAAAGTTGATACAAAATTGTCCAAAAAAATAGGTAGACGATGACCAAATAGAACTTTCGGAAACCTGTTTAAAGAAATCTTGCTTTAAATGGATTTCATTAAATTTTGGTTGCTGATAGAGCTCACCAGCATTGTTGGATCCCTTTATCTAACCCCATCTAGTGATAGAAGGCGTCGTGTTATTGTTTGTAATAGAATTAACCAATTACTAGACACTATTCTTCTCCATTTTATTCTCTGTAACTAATGATATTTTAATTCGCTGGTGGTGCAGTGGTTTGACACAGACAAATTACAAAGAATTGAATGTATTGTACGATAAGTACAAGAATCAAGGTTTGTCACTTGAGTGAAAAAAAAAAGAAAGAAAGAAATTTGTCAACTATATTTATTATGAGATTGTGAATTTGTAAAACTGAGACATCTGAGTGGTCTCCACTCCATTTCCAGGATTTGAAATCTTGGCATTTCCATGCAACCAGTTTGCTGGACAGGAACCAGGAAACAATGAAGAAATTCAGGAAGTTGTTTGCACTAGGTTCAAAGCTGAATTTCCTATCTTTGATAAGGTGATTTCTGATTAGTGATAACCACATTGTAATTCACTAGTGTTTCTCCATATTTTATTTGCTCCATTATGTTCCCTTTTATGTGTATTATTCTATCTTGGTATGCCATGCTGTATATTTTCCTGCACTGAAACTAGTTATGCTTGTAGAATATTCGTTTGGACACTGCTCCATGTGTCACTTTATATGATAATCATCCTAAAATAATTGGTCGCAGGTTGAAGTCAATGGGAAGAATGCAGCACCACTTTACAAGTTTTTAAAGGAGCAGAAAGGAGGAATATTTGGAGATGGTATCAAGTGGAACTTCACAAAGTTCTTAGTAAACAAAGAAGGGAAGGTTGTGGACAGATATGCACCAACGACTTCACCTCTGAAAATCGAGGTTAGATAATGATGCCAAGCAAAGGGGTTAATTATTACCTCAGTAAATGTTGGATTGCTATTTGGGCTATTGGCATAAACGCCACGCGTCCTCTAAAATAGCCTAAACTGAAACCCAACGTTTAACTACAACCGAATTTCTCCTGTGTCATATAAGTTTCAGATTGTATGTCAATAAGTTGTATTTTTCCTCTTGCAGAAAGACATTGAGAAGCTCTTGCAATCTTGAGTACCAAGATTTGACTAAATAGAACATATAATGTTGCAGAGGTTAGTTTTGCTATCATTTAGTTTTCAGCTCTACCTTTCTTCTTGATCAGTACATATGTTGTGGGAGCTTAACCTATACAAGTTGTCTTGTAAATTCTCAATCTTGCATATGCTAATGTACTCATTCTTTTGTAAATTTGTCCAAAGTTCTAACATTTCATCTCTTTAAAGGAACATGCAAATAGAAAATTCATCTTTACTCTGCATAAATATTTTGACCAGAGTTCATTACTTCAGTTCGGATTACCTCAGATGTGAGTTTTCAATCAGTTTTCTATATATTTAAATTGTATATAAGATATCATCATTCATATCGAAATACAAAAAGTGAAAAATCTTATTCGAGAGTTAGGATGTTCACCATACTACTGAATACACTGCAACATATTTTGGAAAAATTGCAGGATGGCATGGTGTATAAAGTACTTATTGTGTTGGTAACATAAAATGATAAGTGGTTTTATATGTGACTCCCATTATAAGATGGATTCTCAAATTGGTTTTCTACATAAAATTTACTTACTCCTAGCTAGGCTCCCTTAAAATTATTTCAGAAGGTTATTATGTCTCTATTTATGTATTTCAAACATTTCCCCCTTATTTGATTGAAATGATCACAACTGTTTCAGATTATTAGTCTTCAGAAAGCTACACTAGCTTATGTTTTGTCCTTCTGTTCTTTTGTGCAGGAGATAGGAAATTTGTCCCGTGCTTTCGAAGGACCATATATGTTATCAATCATTATATACCCTGGAAACATCTTAATGTATATCCTGTGTTTGGATTGTCAATAAGTTTAAATTTCTCACTCTGTTATCAAAACAATAAAATAATATATTTGGATGCATACTTATGTTATGTCTGCATGATCCATACTACATTCCTTATACATATTACATATCTTAAGATTATGTGATGATCCTCTTAGTTTATGTATTTGATCTTTTCTCATAAATCAAAGAGTTGCCCGAAGGAGAAAATATCATTCTGTGAAAAATTAGTAAATGATTAAACACAATGATAAGTATAAGACTAACAACAATGAACTTATATTATTATTTTGTTATTCGGAACTTTTTTGTTATATACTTTGAATTATAAATTTAATAGGTTAATTTAAAGAATTTTTTAGAAAAAGATAAAAATTTTAATAATTATTTTATTATAAAAGATAATATAACTTAAAATATTTAAAGGGTAATAATCTCATTGAACATTTTTTAATATTTTATAATATAGTAATAATTCCTAATAAATATATATATTTTTTCAATTATCTTAAACTATTCTCCTTCAATTTAAAATACATATATTTTTTTCAATAGATATATATTCTTGATTAAACGTGATTAATGTTTATATATTTTCATATTCGTGAATTTGACTTTCAATTTTTTAAAATATATACAGCATTTTTTTTAACTTAAAAATAATAATTTGTTAAGAAGAAAGGCTAAATCCATGTATTTTTTTTAAAGCTTGAGAACCATACATTGATATAAAAATATAGTAAATATATATATATATATATATATATATAATTATTTCTTTTAGTTTATCTTCTTTTACATTCATCTTTTAATTATTTTTCAATAATTTTTTCAGAAGAATTTATCAATATTTAAAATAACCTTATATTAATAATTTAAATTGCTTATTGCAAATATACTAAAATTATATATTCAATTTTTTTTATTAATTATGAATGTTAGAAAAAATATTTTTTTTATTCAATTTAAATTGCTTATTGCAAACATTGTTTTGAAAAATAATATCTTCTATTATATTTTAAATCTTCTTAAATACGAAATATTTTCTGTTCTATTTTTTTCCCCTTGTATATTATTTAGTATTTATATTTTAAATTTATTTTACATTAATTTTATACTAAACGATGCGTTAAGGGTTTAAGGCTGACAGTGGGTTATCACCTTCCTTTTCTTCCTCGGTCATCGTTGGCCAAGAACTCAGATTGGCCACCACTGTGAGTGAGCACCCAGCAATTTGGAAAAAGGAAAATTCAATTTTTTGACACAACTTTTCGATTTTGATAAAAGAACAACATTTGTGGCTTCAAATTTTGATTTCTAAGGTAATTTTGCCACTTCATCTTTTCTAATAACTCCCGAAATGGCTTCTGCAATATTCAGAAGCCTTCAAGTTCACCCCTTTCTGCTTTATCCAACAACAATCCTCGGACGAAGAAATGGGGTTTTTCATTTGACGACCAAAGCCACACAATCCCAAACAGACACCCAACAGAGGCATCCTCAGACCAAGGTTTCAACGAGCAGCACTCAGTCCAAAAAGCTTGACAAAATCCCAAAAGACTATGAAGCCATCATTGGCATTGAAACACATGTTCAGCTTTCCACTCTGACCAAAGCCTTTTGTGGTTGCCCTTACAATTATGGGTCTCCACCAAACACCAGCATTTGTCCCATTTGCATGGGCTTGCCTGGTGCTTTGCCTGTTTTGAACTCCAAGGTCATTGAGTTTGCCGTCAAGTTGGGGCTTGCTCTTAATTGCAACTTGGCTTTCAACTCCAAGTTTGATAGAAAGCAGTATTTCTACCCTGACCTTCCAAAAGGGTACCAGATTTCTCAGTTTGATGTGCCAATTGCTTCTGCTGGTTTTCTTGATGTGGATATTCCAGTTGAGTTTGGTGGGGGCCACAAGAGGTTTGGCATTACAAGGGTTCACATGGAAGAGGATGCAGGGAAGCTTCTACATGCAGAGAATGGAAATTACTCACAGGTTTTGTTTCTTTACCATTATTTCAGTTTGGAAGTTGCAATCTTATTTAGCTTCTGTTTGGATAATCTTCTTGTTAATACTTACAAGAGGAAGAAAAGGACGATAAAATAAGTTATATGTTAAATATTGTCTAACACAGAATTTAAAATCAAATTGTGGTGAAGCTAAACGATAGAATTTCTGTAATAACCTATATATAAATTAGATTTAACTTACTAAAAAACTGAGAAGTTTATTCAACATGACCTTAATATTTTATTTTTATTTGTTTTATATCCAAGTTTCAGGTACCTATATATAGTACATTTATGTCTATTTGAGCAGATCTTTGTACTGGATCAGTTTTCACATATTTCTTTGATGAATAATTCATATTTTGGAACACATTTATTGGTCCGTTCCATTCATGCACTTATTTACATGAAAAATTACCAAAGACTCAACAACTTTTATCTGATATAAGCATGTTAAAGTTAGTGGTGTTTCATGACAGGTTGATCTTAATAGGGCAGGGGTACCTTTGCTTGAGATAGTTTCTGAGCCTGATATGAGAAATGGTATTGAAGCAGCAGAATATGCTGCAGAACTACAGAGGTTGGTGCGGTATTTGGGAGTAAGCAATGGCAATATGCAAGAAGGTTCTCTTCGTTGTGATGTAAATGTATCAATACGACCTATTGGGCAATCCGAGTTTGGGACTAAGGTATCTAGTTATTTCTTCCATATAATTAATTGAAGGCTTTTTTAAACACCTACTCTTGGAATTAGCACTTTGTTAAATTGTTAGGAAGCTTGCTAAAATTGCATGGAGAGTTTGTGGATACTCGTATTCATTGTTATGGAGAATCTTGCTTCAAGTTGAGTCTCTGCCATCATCAGATGGAAGACATTTAGAAGATGATTTACAGTTAATCTTGTACTACTATACGTAGAAAATATTCTTTTCAACAAAAGAGAAACCCAGAATGAGTTGCTGGGAGAGGGAAGTTATAGTCTGAAATTATCAATGTGGTTTTCTGTTCTCTAGGAAAACAATTACTTGCACAGATTTTTGGGCTTCTTCTATAAATTACCCTCAAATAATGAAATAAAGCATAATTGCCACAAGAAGATTTTGTGGATGAAAAAATTGATTTATATTATCATATTATTACATTATTCTATAAAATAGTGGCTTGGCCCTTGCCTTGCAGAAATGAAGTGCCACAAAGTGATCTTACTCTTAACTTTTTTGTTGCAGTATGAACACATACAATATATTACAGATTTAGCAGCTAATATGGTCAATTGTTACTGTCAGGTTGAAATAAAAAATTTGAACTCATTTTCATCAGTGAGCAGAGCAATTGATTTTGAAATTTCAAGGCAGGTGCAACTCCATAGTCAAGGCCAGGAAGATCAGATAGTACAAGAAACTCGATTATGGGAAGATGGCTCTCAGGCTAGTGCTACAATGTGATCTTGTATTTTCCTGTATAGTGTAGCAAGTGCAAGATTGAGTTTTCATTTTTCTCTCTTCAGACGAGTATTCTTACATAACTTTGTTATTCTGTTTAGAGAACAATTACAATGAGGAAAAAAGAAGGGCTTGCTGATTATCGATATTTTCCAGAACCAGACCTTCCAGCAGTAATTCTTTCTCAAGAATATGTTGATGATATAAAAAATTCTTTACCAGAGCTTCCAGAAATTAAGCGGAGAAGGTATGAGAAGATGGGCTTAAGCATGCAAGATGTTCTTTTCCTGGCTAATGATAAAAATGTGAGTTCTCTGTTGTTATGTACTGACTGAAAATAGGTGAACTTAATAAAACAATGTACATAAGATTAAGATATAAATATTTGAAAGAAATAGATGAGTAAATACTATCTTCTAGATTTCCGATATCCCACTACTGTATAATAATTGCTAGGAAATGTACTGAAGATTTGACAGAACAAGTAAAAAATCCAAGTGTGATAATGTTATGTAGATATAATGACACAACACCAATCCAAGGTCGTGCCAGCAACAAACCAATGCCCTTAGCCTGGTAAGCATAAAACAATAAAGCATTACTTGACAATTGAATTTCCCAAAACAAACTTCTTGGATTTTATGGAAATTTTGACAGAGTCTCCCCTAAAATATTCCAAAGTTTAAAACTCCTATTATCAACATAAATCACCCACCAGAGTTTTCCAACATCATACCTATCCAATAAACTCCCCATAGCTGTTGAATATACATATAATCCCAAAATAGTATCAAATGGTCACCAACACAAGGAAACCTACCAAAATCAAATAATAGTGAAGCTGAAGAACCGAATCTGCTAGCAACCTGCTACTCAACTGCCCGGGAATCTGGATGAAAAAAAATAGAAAGGGGTAAGTCACAAAGACTTATCGAGGGCCTGACAACCACCATGAACTAGAAGGGAAACAACCAACGCATGAGTTGTTCAATGAAGTAAGCTTCATTTTAACACTCATTCCTCAATGTAAAAATATAAAACATGTGATTTCAATAAATCTCACAACCTTAGATAAACTTATATCCAATATCTATGAGTTGAAATTTATTATATCCAAAATAATAAAAGATTTATCATATGTAAGTTTAATTAGTAAATCTAAAATGAAATACGTTAAGAAAAAAAATAAAAATCATGTGAAATGCAATTACAGTAGGGATCACTTATATGATAAAACATAGAAGTGGCTCCATCTTGCTGATAGCCCTCTCCTCTGAGGATTGGTCATTGAAGGTGTCAATGAGAGTAGATTACATGATTTCTAACCTTGTGAAAAGGGATGTACTAATAAGGATATTAGAGGAAATTATTAAAAAGGATCTCATGGTGAATAATGTCCCTGAGAATTTGTTTTTTTAGTGAACCTAATGGTGTCATGTGATCCATTTAGTTGATCTCACCTAGTGGGATAGTGGTAATACTATTGTTATTTTTGTTGTTAACTAATGGTAATACTACTGTTATAAGCGCAACAGTTTGCTTTAAAACTAAGACTACACATATAGTTCCAGCAAAGTACTGCATGATTTAGTGAAAGAGGACTTGGGATGTCTTTGGACACTTGCTCAATAAACTCTTACCATGGTCTAATGTGATTTTTTTTCTTCTGAATTGCTGTATTAGATTGCAGAATTTTTTGATGAAACTCTTTCAAAAGGTGCTGATCCAAAGCTTGTTGCCAACTGGATAATGAGTGATATTGCTGCTTTTATGAAAAATGAAAAGTTGACCATAAATGAGATAAAGCTTACTCCTGAAGAGTTGTCTGAGTTGATAGCTTCCATCAAAGGTGGAACCATTAGTGGCAAGATTGGGAAGGAGGTATGTTTGCTTAGGCACTAATGAATGGTCTATGCTTCCCTGACTCACACACAACCTTGAAAAATTAAGCTTCAGACAGTAGCTATACTGTCATGTTTATAGTCGTATTTCCTGGTTTTCTCATGAAGTATGGCAACTCATTTATAAATATGTTGATCTATGAAGTCTAATTCGGGCTTTAATCAATAAAGCCTTAATCATCATTAAACTTAATTATTATTTTCCTCTTGAAAACATGTCATTTTATTAAGCCTATGTATAATGTACCATGTAGATATGGTAATCAAGAAACTTGATATTTGTATTTATTACACTCATTTTATAACGATCAAGTTTGTGATATAGTTGGGAGACAGTGTTCAGCTTATGCTCTACACAGTTCCATCCTTTTTTGCTTCGTTCTGCATGCCTGGTTAGAATTTGGATAAAACTACCTTATTTGATGAGTCTTTGATTGACTTGGCCCAGCATACATGTAGTGTCCGCATCTTCTGTTGTCTCAATGAATTCGAAAAGAAGAAAAGACAATTCGGTGGCTGAATTATATAAATTGGCGTATATATTACATTCTGTATTTTTTAAATTTGTTCATTTGTTTGTAGGTACTATTTGAGCTATTAGCCAAGGGAGGAACTGTTAAGGAACTCATAGAAAACAAGGACTTGGTTCAGGTAACTTGTGGGATTAACCATTACTGAAGTTTTGACTGTGTTGTGTATAATTCTTTGATATTGAAGCATAAAGTTTCCAGCTTATGAGTTCAAATGCAAAATTAACAACTATACTGTGGTGTTTGAGATATTGAAAGATTGGTAACAAAACAGGTCACGGAGGATGGTACACTACAATGTTATTGTGATACATGAGGATTGTTATTTATAATGAGGAAGAGATATAATGATAAATAAATAAAAAAATCAATATCTAATAATGAGAAATATTTGGTAAGATATTGAGTTTTTATATTTATTTTTTTTAAAAACCCTTGAATTGGTTTGAACATTTAATGTGAAACCTCTGCTCTGAGGCTGCATCTTTGGCATTAGTTGTTGATGCTGAGAAAGAATGAAAATGTTGGAATCGGTTTTTGCCTTTGGAAATGACAGATAGTAGATCCTGTTGAAATTGAAAAAATGGTGGAGAAAGTGATTGCGGAGAATCCAAAACAAGTTGAGCAATATCGAGGAGGCAAAACTAAACTACAAGGGTTTTTTGCCGGCCAGGTATGAACATGTAGAAATGGAAGAAATTTTTATGTTTTTTTTTTTTCCTCTTTTCATATCTCGGTATCTTTTATGTTTGTCCAAATGCAGGTAATGAAATTATCTAAAGGCAAAGCAAATCCAGGTCTCCTAAACAGGATCCTCCTGGAGAAATTGAATTCAAAGAGCTGATGACGATAGATTATTATTTCCAATTGGTTCTTGTGTTGCTCTTTTCTAGCCAAATGAATAAGTTCTATTGGGTACATATTTTAGCTGATTTTTGAAATAAACTGTGTACATTGAGTTCTAAAAGTGCTAAAGGATTTATGCATCGAGGGTTGAGACTGCAGTGCTCTCTCATATTTTCTTTGGTTGAACACAAGCATTATTATATTCATGCGGTGCTTTATAAGGGTTATTTTTCCTAAGCATTTGATTCATATTTACGTTCCGAATAGATTTTATGGCTTAAAAGTTTCTTTGTATATCTCATGTTTTTGGATTATGTAACGAGTATATTTTAGTGTTGTTTAGTAATGTTCTGTGCGATCCATTGATTGGTTTGTGTATTATGAATAGAATATACGTGGATATGCTATGGTTAAGAAAGCCCTTTTATTTTAAAATGTATGTTTTTTTTAAGTATGAAACTTGGTTTATATTTCTCAAGGCAAAAAAAAAAAAAATTAACTGGTGTAATTTTTCATGTTCATATTAAAGCTACTTCCTATACTATTCATCTGTCCACATTTTACTTGTTATTTGTCTTCTAACTATACAACCAAACACGCACTTAAATTTTTTTATTGGATATTTTAGTCTATGCATTGCACAAATTGAATATTTCTTTTTATATGATTAAATTTATAAGAAAAAACATTTTTTAATTGATGAAAATACCAGTTAGAATCTGTTATAATTTTTAAACGTTTTTATATAACCATTAGACAGCTTCTTTACAAAGTTTTCAACAAACATTAATAGGAGAAGAAAATAAAAAATTAAACAAGTGAAAATCAATGCATATTAGAATCTTTCTCATCTATTTTCTCTAAAAGTATTATATATCCTATTTTCAACTTAAAAAAGATGGTTTTACAGTTTGCATATACATAATGTTATTGGCATTTGTGAAAATGTGTCAAAAAATAGTCCTTATTATCTAGACACAAATGACTGAAACGAGGTAATTTTTTGTAAAAACGGAAGTATTTTGTAAGCACAAAAATAACAACTAATAATAAATCTAATACAGTTTGGAAAAAGTAAGATGGGAGGGGGAAGTAACAGAAAACTATTTTCATAAAGGGAAAATGAAAATAAAAACTAATAATATATAATTTTGACCTGCGATTTATGAGAACTGTAGATACATAAACGGCCTTAAAAAGAATCAGCTTGTAAAACGCACTAAATGAGCATATACACTATAACCATGCTTCAGGGATAAAAATTGAGGAGGCCAAAAAAGCCATACGGAATCAAGTAGGCTTAACATACGTGTTGTCCTCTCTAAACTTGGCGATTTGACTTCGTATCATTACCTCAACATGAGGTTGGACAAACATGTGGCTGCTATCCATGCTATGTATAATGAACTTATCAGATGCAGGCATTGAAGCATTCATATTGATAATATATTGTGCCATAGGAATGTCACTGCACCAGGCAATTTAGCTAATCATTGATGTGATCACACAAGTGAAAGGAAAAATTAGTTAAAAGTATACCATGTCAACTCAAACTGCTAGAGATTTGGTGCCCCATTAGTGACTATTTGTTTGTATGTGCAAAAGAGAAATAGACAACTGTTGGTAACATAGTTAACTATGAATAAACCAAGCTTATGAGAAGAAGTTTTTTACCCTAGAAGAAAGGAAAAACAGTCCTTACAGTTATATAGTATGTAGAGGTTCCAACATTAGATAGATGTAAAAAAAAAAAATTTTGAACACTTGCAATGCAACAGTCTTAATTATACAAGTTTCAAAAAGTGTAGTATATATGGGGAAAAAAATTCAATAGGAATGCAAAAAGAGAAAAAAAAAAGAGTGTTACCAGGAAATGAAGACTCCTTTAGTGGCATTGACCATGATGAATAACAACCTTCCTGGAAAGAAAACTAAGACAAGTTTCAATGGTCACCATAACATTCATCACCTTTATAGATAGTAGTTCATCACTAACTTATTTGATACAGAGCTAAAAGTGTTTTTCAAAAGCTTCTCTCAAAAAGGACTTTATCCAAACAAACCATATTTTAGGAGTACAGAAATTTTGCTCGGTCCCTTACGATTTTCTCGCAACACAATTCAATAATTCATGGTTACCGAATCAGGAGATTTATTTTTTCTTTCGTTCATACATCGGAACTCCAATCTGCTACTATGGTTATAAATTAATTTAATTTTTCGTTTAAGATCAAATCAAAAGAATCTTAAAGTGGGTCCGAAACAAGATTGACATGTCATATGTGATCTTAAACGAAAAGAATGAAAAAAGAGTTGATGCAAAAGCTTAACATCATTACCTCAATTTATCCAGAAATGGCAATGGCGAAAACGGAGAAGAGAAGAGAAGGAACGTGGGTTAACAAAAATTGTGGTAGGTTTTGGAAAGGGAATTTTGGGGAAGAAAACATGCAAGATGGGTTGGGCCTTTGAGGCCCGTTTGACACATCGGAGTTCTTCTTGCACTCCACTTTATTTAGAAAAAGTAAGAGGAGATGTTGCTATTTTCACAACCATTATGCTAAGTTCACACCATTCAATGTGGAGATAATTTTGGTCTTCAATACCTCATTTATTTATTTATACATTAAAAAATACACAATTTTTGCCTCTCCAAATTTTAACATATGAATCTCAAAAATGAGGTATTGAAGGTGCAATAGGATCTTATGAACCTTCTCCTTAGACAATTAAGGTGCAATGGACCAAAATAGGTTGTGCATAATTTATCCAAATTGCCTGTGAAACAAATAACACTTACGGGGGCTTTTCCATTTCTCCAATTTTTAGGCTTTATAAGCATTTATTTTTCTCTTCCTTTTGCAAGCTTCTCTGATGTTTTGTAAACCCTGATATATAGCAATTAAATATTGTATATCGAACCCTGATAACAATACTGGTTGCATGTTTTCTTGATGAATTCAAGAACTGTGAAATCAGTGTCAATGGTAAGGACCCTAAGACTTGATGGATTCGTTGAAGAACTTGATCAGAAGAAATTTGGTCATTACACTCTTCCAATGTATTACCTCAGAAAACAGATAGCAAGTTTAACAAATTGTAGCTTGGTTCTTAACTGGGTAATTTATATTTTAAAATCAAATCCCCGTTGTAAAATTTGATTTTGGATACTTGGGAATCAATACAATATATTTAAAAAGAAAAATTTACTATTTATACACAAAATTTAAAAATGACTAAATAAATTTGTCTCCTAATATAATTATTTTTTTCTTTATCTATTTTTATTATTTTTTATTAACATTCTTATTATTTTTTTATCTTTATTTAATATTTTTTTCCTCTTTTGTTCCTCTCACTAAGATTAAAAATAATATATTAAAATTTAATAAAATGGAATTTTTATTATTATTGAAAAATAAAAATATTTAAATAATATAAAAATATTATAATTTAATATACTATATTTAAAAAAAATATTATATATTAAAATATGATAAAGTGGAATTTTTATTATTATTGAAAAATAAAAATATTTAAACAATACAAAAATATTATAATTTAACATATTATATTTTTAAAAAATATTATAAAATAAATTTGAGATATTATAATTATTAAGAAAAAAATTATTTTAAATTAATTTTTTTATGAATATATTTTTTAAAATTAACTAATTTAATTAATTATCATAATTCAATCTAATTATAAATAGAATTATCAAGAAATAAAAGAAAAATTATATATAAACAATAAATAAGTTTATTAACCTAACTAATTATCATAACTCAATCTAATTATAAATAGAATTAAAAAAATTATATATCACCAATAAATAAGTTTATTTGAATAAATAAATTGATAAAAATTCTATTTGAATAATTTTTCTTGTAAGATATATTAATCATAAGATTCATTCAAAGTGTATATTTAAATAAATTTTACAATGAACTGCACAAAAATAAAAGAAAAATTATTCTATTGATGAAATTAATAATCTTTATATTTTTTCTATATATTAAAATCAAAATATATTTATTTAATTTTAATTCACGTAAAATCTAAGTCTTAAAAAAAACTTGACTCGTTACTATCAAAAGAAGAAACTAGTATGGATATAAATAAAAAAATATATCTTATATAGCTTATAATTATAAACTTTGTAGATGAATATAAAATTTATTTTACAAGTAAATTTTATAGAGTTAAATTAAATTTAATGAATTTTTTTAAATTAATAAGATTTTTTATTAGAATACTAAACAATAGCATAGATGGATTATATTGTTAAAAAATAAAATTATATTTTAGAAAGAGTTAAAATATGACAAAAAAATTTAAAATATTTTCAAAAAAATGTTAGAGATAAAGAAAATAATAAAAAACCTAACAGTTTTTTTTATATCACATCGTTTCAACTCTAAAAAAATACAAACATTCTTTAAAAATAATATTTTACTTTAATTCAAGTATTTATTTTCCTTTCTTCAAACAACAATCAAACTATATTCTTATCTGAATTTTATACTCTCTCACAATTCATTAATTTATTTTTAGATTTTTATATTATTATTTATTTATCTTATTTCATTATCTCAATATTAATGGTAAAAAAAAAATCTTTTTCCATTAATATGATATTATGCCGATTGTATAATATCTCAATCTTCTTAGATTTTGTTATTTTCATATACGTATTTTTATTAGTAATTTGTTTATTTCAATCTAGTATATTTTATTTTATATATATATATATATATATATATATATATATTAATTATATCTAACATAAAAATTTAATTTATTAATATAATTTAAATTTCAAACAATATTTTTTAAATTATTTATTTATTATAATTTTTTAAAAATCTAAATTTATTTCAAACAATTATATCTACTGATCCGGTCGGGAATTTCTGTTAAGATTTCTTTTATGATTTAGATTCATCTCTGAAACAGATTTGAATTTGAAATATAAATTACCCCAATAATAACGAAGCCCGTTATATTTGTTCCCGCAGAGAGATTATGTAGTGTTTCAAATAGGTCGACAGATTATATTGAGGAGTCTCCAAGCTTAATTAAAGATAAGATGCAAAATGATAGTGTCAACTTGGAACGTAATCGGACAGGAGAGATGAGTCATGGTTCTGAATTTGTTAATAATTCTGATTTTGCTTCTTCTTCAGTCGTTGCAAAGAATTCCAGGGAAGCTTGTGATTTTGCTTCTTCTTCAGTCGTTGCAGAGAATTCCAGGGAAGCTCGTGATTGTGACGAACCAAAGAATAGTGATCTGCCATCGGAGAATAATAGTCATCAACCTAAAAAGAAGTCCCGTTTAGTATGGTCGACGGAACTGCACCTTCGGTTTCTTAATGCTATCAAACAAATTGGACTTTCCAGTATGATGCCTCAACAATTGTTTTATTTTTCTCTATTCATCAAATATCTGGATTTCTTTGGTGGTATTAACAGTTTTAGTTTTCAATTTTAGGGGCTGTTCCAAAGAAAATTCTTGAAGTCATGAATGTCTCTTATTTGGAAAGAACACACGTTGCTAGCCATTTGCAGGTTAGTTTCTGGTATGACTTTTTGTGATAAATTTAACGAATTTTGTTTCGTGAACCCTCTATTTCGTTATTATTGATAAAAAGGTTATCATTGTTTAGTGTTTCCCATTAAGTGAATCTATAATTGACCTGGTCAGAGAAAATTTAGAACTAATTCAGTAAGATTTTATAGTTGATTCAATTCAAATTGAGCTCTGTTAATATTGCTATTTAACGTTATTGTCATTGTGATTGAGTATTAATTAATCTTACTGTCAATCTGATCTGTAATTTTGATGGGCAGAAGTACAGAAAATTTTTGAAGGCGAAATCTGATAAAGTGATAAAGAGACGGCCAAAGGATGAAAAGTCATTGGTTTGTGTGAATACTTCAGAGAATTCAGAACCACTTGGGATGGGTGCATATGGAAGAATTCCCTTACAATCTCTCCCTTCTAATAGAAGACCTCCTCTTCATCCTTGTACCACTGGTAATATGGTACCAAAAAGGAACCAACAATACGATCCAAATATACAATTGACTAATAATTTTCATACAGAACAAAAGTTGGCACATGCTCCTCCTCTGCCACCCTTTCCTAACACTAACACTCCCCATAATTTTCGACAGTCCATGGGGACTCTAGACCAGGCATCTAGATATGGAGTATGGCCTCCATCTCATACAGTTTTAGTTGAAAATCAGTCTATGCTTCAGAGAAATAATATTCATCAGTCAATGATGCATCCTCCTCCGATTCATCCAATCAATTTTCAGTCATCTTCCATGATTTTCCGTGAAAACCCTTTCACCCAGAATCACTGCTTTGGCATGAATGTTGATCATAGTTTGTTACCTCCTCAATCCAGTAGAAACTCAGTTGGTTTTGTTCAGAGTCAAGGTGGAAACAACACAAATGAAGCCATTCTCAGTCGGTTTGCTGCTGTTTACCCGCATAAAAATGCGGGTTTGCAAAGTGCTGCTGTGAGATCTTATGCTGCATCAATGTTTGATACACAAGTTCCCTATGATTCTGCAAGTTATTTTAGCAATCAACATTTCTCCACAAATATTGTTGAGAAAACAATCAATGATACTTGATTATTAATTTTGTTTTAGTTTTTTTTTTTTTTTCTAACCGTTAACAAATTTACATTCATGTTTATATTCAGATCTTCTTATTATTATAATCTGTATTGCTTATTTCTGTTTTTATTTGAATATATTTGTTATTAATTTTGTTTAGAACAAAAAAACTATTTTTAAATAAATAATTTTTTTTAAAATTTGATATACAATCTTAAATAAAACAAATATAGGTTATAATTTAATTTTAAATGTCATCATAAACACATTTTAATTAGAATAATATTATATACCTATCTGCTTTAAAATTCCTTGTAATTATGATATAAATCTCTTTTATTAATTTATTAAAGTCACTCTATTAATGCTAAAAATCAATAAATTATTATTATTATTATGTAAACACTCAAGTTAAACAAATTTAAACATAAATGTTATCTAAACAAACATAAATTAATTTCATTTTATTACATTTATAAAAATTAACACTTTTGATTATAAAATAGCATAAAAATTATACTAAACTTAGCAATTACAGGTGACAAATTCACATCAGAAATATTTACTTATTATTTAAAATTGTGATAAAAAAATATAAACAAAAGGTATTAAAAAAATCTTAGATGTTTATACGATATCTTATAATGCTTTGTTGTTTTTCTAGATTTTCTAATAATATAATTTTTATTTTTTAATTTCATTTTGAGTGTCCATCCATTTTCATTTAAATTTTTAAAATACCTAGTTTTAGTATTTTCTAAATTATCTAATGTATGTGGGACTATTATATTTATATCCATATCCATGCCTTGTGCCAAAAAAATGTATACGTTAACGGATAAATAAGTGAATATGTTTAAAAGAAAAAAAATAAAAAAACGACATTTGAAATATAAGTTACGTACCAATAATTGGTAACAAGTCACGCCTTATATTTCTTTCATTTTTTGCTTTCTCCAATCTAGGGTCACAGAATAGAGTGGAGAGAACGATGGCCAAATATTATTCTGAGAAATCCCCAACAGCTCTTACTATCCTTGCCATTGACAAAGACCCCGAAGTTCTTGAACTCATCAAGAAAGGATGCAACAAATATTCTTACGAAGGTTAGATAAACGAAGGTTAGAGAAAGATTTAATCTTTTGTTATGTTGACGCTAGTTTTTAACGTTGTGTGCAGTAATGACATTCACTGATACCCTTCCTGCTGTGGATGTTTTGCGGGGAAACCGAGATGACTTTAACTTGATACTCATGGACCTTCATATGCCAGGGATGGACGGCTATGAATTCCTAAGATTTGTCAGAAGGGAGGAATTTTTTGCTCCTGTAATCGGTATGTAACTAGTTGTTTATATTTTTACTCAACTTTTTAACATCTTTTTACTGATAAAGAATAACTTGCAGTGATGTCTTCGGAAGAGAATAGGCTTTCTGCAGGGATGGCTTTTCTTCTTGGAGCTTGTGATTATTGGGTTAAGCCTTTGGGTGAGTATCTGTTCCAGACTGTGTGGACACATGTTTATAGGAAGTACTTGAATGAAAAGAGGAAGCAAAAAGATAATGAGAAGTTGGAAGATGATAATCAGAAAAGAGAGACGAATGAGGATGCTGTAGTTGTTTCTTCTGTTGGTGAAACACCTTCCAGTGAAGATGGTGATGTTATTGAATCAAATAAGAGTGGTCCTGTTAACCCACAGTTACCATCAGCGGGCTCATCCAGGCCTCAAAGACGGACCAAAACCAAAAATCGCAAAGGGAAGTAGGATTTCATCTACCAAAATAGAAGTAATCTTGCAATGTATGAATAAAACACAGTTATTCTTGGCTCAAGTTTCCTCTATATCCTCAATGTATAATAAACTCAGTTTTTGTTGCTTCCATTTCAGTAATTACATGCATTTTTAGCTTTATCAATTTGGTTACAAATCTTTGAAAGAACCTGTGCTGCCTTATTCATCACTCTACTTTCCATGAAAAACCCAAGTTTCGCTATAATTTTTTTTTTTTTAAATCACAGTATAAAATCAGTGTTCTTGGCTCTTTTAAGTTCATTGAAAACAAATTCCATATTAACATTAAATGTACTTGAGTAAATAAATTGATACAAATTTTATTTGAGTAATTTTTTTAAATATATTATTTATAAAATTGATTTCGTTTTTAAAAAAATTTCCTTATTAGTTAAAGAAATTTAAAAGATTTTTTTTAATATATAAATAGTTGATGTCTTTATCAGATAATATAATAAAATATAATTGTTAATTGAATAAAATGTTAAAAAATTGGTTATCAATATATCCATGTCAATTAGAGAAAGAAAAGATTGGAGACAGGAGTGAAATTTTAGTCAATATAACGGCGAGAGGATATAACAGTTTTTCTTTTATATGAAAAATAGAGATAAAATAATATATTTTAGAAATTAATCTATTTTTATATCTTTATAATTTTAAAATTTAGAATACATTTACTTATAAAATTTTATTTTATTACAAAATTGTTAAATATATTATAATATAATAATTATTTATTAAAACAATATTATAAATAACTAATTAATTATTATATTTATACATATATTATTAATTTATTTATACATTCTTCTTCATTCATTTTAATAAATATAATGCATGTTTTAATTTTAAGAATTTATATTTTAATTTTATTATAATTTCGTTTAGGTTATTTTTTAATTATCAAATCGGTAAAAAAGTTTAATATAAAAAATCTAAAAAAATATCAATTTTAATTTATTTTCAATTATTTGATTTTAAATAGGTAATGCTAGTAAACTAGTTTTAAACTTAAGGAAGTAAATATATTCTAAATTTTAAAATTGTAAAGAGATTTAATATAAGAGTACTAGAATAAATAAATAAATAAACAAGATTTTGTTTATTATTTCTAAAAATAAATTTCAGTTTTTAAGTTCTTTTTAATAACATTGTTAAAAAAAATAAAAGCTATTTTTGTTTTATATTTTTTAAAGATTACAAAACAAACATTAGAGTTTGTTTTGTTTAGTTTTACTTTAGGGTTTAAAAACAATTTTAAAAAATAATTTTGAAGAATTGCAAATTATTTTATATTTCAATAATTTCATTCAATGATATCACCAGAATAAAAAGAGTGTAGCAGAATTACTAATCAAAATACACATGTAAACATAAAATTAAAACATAAAATAGATTGTATCAGTTTTAATTTTTTAGTTTTAAAAACAAACAAAAAAACTATTTTTAGAAACTGTTTTAATAAGATAAATACGAAATAAGTTATTTAGTTTTAAAAAATAGATAAATAAGTTATAATAAAATTTAACTTTTATTTTTTAATTACTTATTTTTATTAATCTTTATATATTTTTCTCCCAATACTTATATTACATTTCTTATTTTCTTGATTGCGAAGTTGTTAAAGTCGTATGTTTCATCGTTATTATATTTCTTTTTTATTTAAAACAGTTTCGAAACAAGTTTTTAAACAATTTTTTTTCAACTATCTAATTTTTTTTCAAATTAATTGTTTTGAAAAAATAAAAATCAAAAACAGCTGAAACGTTTTGAAAATTTAAGATTTATTTTAAGGAAAATAAAAACAAAAATCAAGTTATAAGCTATGTCATATGACGTGAATACAATTATTTATTTAAGAATTAAAATTAATGTATTGAACGAGGTTTTTAACTTTAATGTTAAACTGAAGTGTTTTAAACGATATATATATATATATATATATATATATATGCTAAGAACGTTTCTAGATATATTATCAAATTTTTATATCTTTTAATATATTTTTATCTCCTTTAATTTTAATTTTTATCTCTTTTATTATTTATTTCCACATTAAATTTCAATATTTTTAAATAAAATAATTTTGATTTTTTTTAATTTCATTTTAAGTATCTATACTTTTGTAAAAGATTTTAAATACCTAGTTTCACTATTTCCTAAATTAACTAATTCCATCATTAGATTTTTTTTTTTACAAATTTATGGTCCATATTAAATCTAAATTTAACTAATATTAATGCGTTGTGTCATCAAGTATACAGTAACGCAGGATAAAGAAGTGAATGTGTCAGACTTTAGATAAAAGGGTCAATTGATTTCTGTTACATGTTTCCAACTAACCTAAATCAATTTTCAACGGAGAACTTGAATTTGAAATATTGAGCTACAGATCACACGTTAAATATATTCCAATCACTTTCTTCTTTCCATTCTCAGGTCACAGAGTGAGAGCTATGGCAAAAAATTATTCTGAGAGAGATCTTAAAAACCCAACTAGTCTTAGGATCCTTGCGATTGACAATGACCCCACAGTTCTTGAACTCATCAAGAATGGATGCAACAGATATTCTTATGAAGGTAAAAGATTTTATCTTTTGCTATGTTTGTTGCAACAGATGTTATGTTGTGCAGTAATGACATTCTCTGAGACTCTTCCTGCTGTGGATGTCATCTTGTGCAGTAATGACATTCTCTGAGACTCTTCCTGCTGTGGATGTTTTGCGGGGAAGCAAAGACCAGTTTAATTTGATACTCGTGGATGTTCATATGCCAGAGATGGATGGCCATGAATTCCTACGATTTGTCAAACAGGAGAACATTTTTGCTCCTGTAATCGGTGTGTAACTAGTCCTTTATATTTGTACTCAACTTTTTAACATCTTTTCACTGATAAAGTATAACTTGCAGCGATGTCTTCCGATGAGAGTAAGGTTTCTGCAGCGAGGGCTTTTACCCTTGGAGCTTGTGATTATTGGGTTAAGCCTTTGAATGAGCTAATGTTCCAGACTGTGTGGACACATGTTTATAGGAAGAACTTCAATGAAAAGATGAAGCAAAAAGATGTTGCCAGCTTGAAAGATGATAATGAGAAAAGAGGGATGAATGATGATACTGAAGTTGCTTCGTCTTCTATTGTTGAAGCTGAGGATGTTGATCAATCAAAGAATAATAATACAACCAAGAACAAGAAGGACCGAGTGGTATGGTCAACAGAACTGCATAGTGCATTTTTGGACGCTATCAATAAACTTGGACATGCTAGTACGATTCTTCAGCACTTATTTTTTTTTTTTTTATCTCCATTCATCAATTATCTGGATTTCCTTGCTGGTATTGACAGTGTAGTTTTATCATCTTTTAGATGCTGTGCCAAAGAAAATTCTTCAACTCATGAATATCCCTGGTTTGGAAAGATATCATGTTGCTAGCCATTTGCAGGTTAGATTCTATGTGCATTTGATTTTTCATATTTTCACTTGGCTACCTACCAGGCACTTTGAGTTCTGTTGTTCTCAAAAGTAATTAATATTCTTAATTTTTTTTTAGTGAATAGAAGTTAATGACTATGTTATCTGCAATTTTGATTGTCAGAAATACAGAAAATTATTGAAGCCTAAACCTGATAGAGTGACAAAGAGAAAGCAACAGAATGCGATGTCATTGGTTGCAGTGAATAGTTCAGGAAATACAGAACCACCTAGGATGTGTGCATGTGGAAGAACTCAGTTGCATCCTTTGCCTGCTACTGTATTGTCAGATTTTCATCCTGGTGTCACTGTTAATACTGTTCCAAGAGGAGAGGAACAATCTGATCCAAATAGACAATTGGCTAATCATTTTCATGCTGAGCAAGCTCTGGCACATGATCATCCTCTTCCAACCTTACCTAACAGTTCCATTCATCAGATTTTTCAACCTCAAAATGATGCGTTCAGACATAGATATAAATTATGGTCTCCATCACCGTTTGTTAGAAATCGGGCCATGGTTCGGAGAGACAACATGCGGCACCTGAGGATGCATCATCATAGCATTTGTCCGGTTAAGTTTCAGTCATCTCCCATGTCGATTTCTGAAAATCCTTTCAGCCAGAATTACAGCTTTGGCATGAGTACTGCCCATGGTTTAATATCATCTCAATCCGTTCGGAATTCGGTGGGTGGTGTTGAAATCCGAGGTGAAAACAACACAGGTGAAGCCATTCAGAATCAATATACTACTAGAACTTCCATCTTCCCAAAGCTTCACGAGGAAGGTTCGTCAAGTGGTGCTGTGAGATCTTATGACGCATCAGTGTTTGATCCACAAGTTCCCAATGCTAAAAGACATCACGAGGCCTGATAAAGAGACATCTCCATCACTGTTCTAGAGAGGGGTTTTTTTATTGGAAGGTTTTTTTATTTTTAAAACTTTAAAGATTATAGTGCTAGAGAGGGGTGTTTGGATTGATTTTATTTTATTTTGTACTCAATTAGGGTTTAGAATACATACTCTAGATGAAGTCATCTAAACCAAGTATACATTTTAAATATGGTTAGATTTTTCATAATTTCATTGAGATAGTTTTTATTTATTTTTATTATAAAATTGATAAATATATTATAATAAAATAATTATGTATTAAAAAAATATATCATAAATAAATAATTATTATATCTATATTTATAGTTTTGATTTATTTATATATTCTTTTTCACTCAATTTAAAAAATATAATGCATGTTTTGATTTTAAGAATTTATATTTTAAGTTTATTATAATTGCGTGTAGGTTATTTTTTAATTATCAAATCGGAAATTAAACTAAATTGTTAAAAAAATTTAATATAAAAAATCTAAAAAATATATCAATTTTAGTTTATTTTCAATTATTCGATTTTAAATAGGTAATGCCAGTGGTCAATTATAAATTTTGTTACTTGTAAACTAGTTTTAAACTTAAGGAGCTAACAAAATTTTTTTAATAAGGAAGTAAATATATTCAAAATTTTAAAATTATAAATATAAAAAAAGATTAATTTCTAAAATATATTATTTTATCTCTTTGTTTCATATAAAAGAAAAACTGTTATATCCTATCGCCACTATGCTGACTAAAATTTTACTTCTGTCTCCAATCTCCTTTTTTTCTAATTGATGTAGATAATATTGATAACCAATTTTTTAGCATTTTATTCAATTAACAATTATATTTTATTATATTATCTGATAAAATTATCAACTATTTATATATTAAAAAACTGGTTGTTAATTTTTTTGAATTTTTTTACTAATAATAAATTCTTTTAAATAAAATCAACAAAATTATGAAATCAATTTATAATTAATATATTTTAAAAATTCCTAAATGAATTATATAGTTAGTAAGATTACTTTTTTTTCCTTTAATTTTCAAATCTCTATTACTATTATCTATACAAATTAATGTTTAATGTCAAATGTAGTGCGATTGAATTGAAAAGTAAATATTATACTTTCTCCTAATACTCTAACTATATATTCATATATTTATTTTAACTAGACGTGTATTTAAAATAAAGGATAATGATTAACATTCATGCGCTTTTTAGTCCATCCGATGCATAGTTAAGATGGTAATTTTTAATTTATTTATGCTCACATGATAAAAAAATTATAATGAAGTTTAAAGTAAAAAATAATAAAGAAGTTAAACTTAAAGGGAAAAAAATCTAGTAAGAGATAAAAAACCTAATACTCGGTCTCCATCTATTGTCAAAATTGTTGGCAGACGACTCTATTTTTGGAGAGACCACCTTTCATTTGATTGTCGAAGAGATGTGAAAAGATTGATCATCCTCATCATTTACATCGTTCCAAGATCGTGTTGATTATCAGAATAGACAGAGTCAGTTGTGTTATTATTGACTTGCATCGCGGCTCCGTTTGCTTCCATTGTTGTCGGTAAGTGTTAATCGTGTTCCTCTGTTGTTTATCATTTGGGTTGTTTATGTGTCGATGTCCTGCTCTTGTGACGGTTATGATTTTGATTGTTCCGGAGAATGGTAAAAACTTGATTTTAACGTTTTTGTTAGAAATAATTTGTTTTGCTTTGACTATTGTAGGTGGAAGATGAGTGCTATGCTTTGACTTGTTTTAGTCTAGCTTGTCCTGCTATGTTTACATATTGCTGTTGCAATCATAACCCAGTCTCAGGCAAGGTTGTTGTTGACATTTGTTTAAAGATATGATTGTTTATGTTGTGAAAAAAAGTACAGGTAAATTCTGTAATTGGAGCCAAATCTCTCTCTTAACCTAATTTTTTGTTTTCAAACTTTTATTTCAATTGATTTTTATGAAGTATTCGTATTCTTAAAAGTAAAAGGTTGGGTTAGTTATTATTAATATTCGATAATTTGTAAGAAATGATGGGTTTTACATTTGTTGTATGTCGAAGTTATTCAGATAAAGATAATTAGTGCTCTTAATTTTACCTTCTAGTTTTTATGTGATATAATACGAACTTATGTTGATTTATTTTTATAGTTTTTAATTGATTGTTTGATAAGATGTCTGACTGTGATGGTAATAATAATTGTATATGTGACTGCATTCCGTTCATAGTAAGAGAAGTAATTTTTTAGGTGGCAATTAGGGAACTAATGTTTTTGGTATCCGGAAAAGAAAGTTTTTTTTTTTTTTTCACCTTTCATAGATGAATGTTATAAATTGATGGATGAATGTTATAAATTGATATATGAAGTAGTTCATTTTATTTGAAAACATCAATGAATATACTGAGACAAATGTGAACACGAACGAAATATGTATGAGATAGACATTGTTTGTGTGTTTATGTTTTGTTAGTAAAATCAAATATAATATGCAATGTCTATGTTTGTGTGTTTATTTTTTTATTATGTATTGCTAAAGTACCTTTTATTTTATGAAAGGTTTATAAACGATTATATATTTTGTATGTATTGACTCTTTCATTTAACTTATTTATAATGAATTTTAATAATAAGACAAAATTTTATGTATTGCTTTAAGAAACATGTAAAGGGTGATATGTATTTGAAGCGCAAAGACAATCGATCAATTATAATTGAATAAAAGTATTTAACATAGAAGAATACTAAATTAGAAGATTGTGTGGTGATATTAGAAAAAGAATTGAAAATGTTGAAAAGTGTAATTGGTGTCTTCAAACATGTAACAAGTATTGTAGACAAAAAGAATTATGGGACATTGAATGAATATCCTCTACTAATAGATGTAAAAGTTGTTATTGACCATTTCAAAAATAGAAAACTAAAATAAATGTTTGACAAATTGTATAATTTAGGTATATCATTGATAAGGAAAATAAGTAAGTATTTATTATTTAGTTAATACGTTTGTATAACATGTGATGTTAATGATAGATGATACTATTAAGACTAAAAAATATTACTTTATCTCATATTCTAAAATCATTATTTTTTCATCCAATTTACTACATAACTCAAACAATAATGACAAATATATATTTGACTTTTGACCTATTTTCAATAATAACTTAAAAGAAGTGTCTAAAATTTTATTTTTACAATTTATTGAAATATTATTATTAATTTTTCTAATTCATCTGTTTTTCATTCATGTTTAGATCACATCTACACTACCGTATCTATATAGTCAATATGACACAAGGCGTCTATTATAGCCTCGCGGCTACGACCACGTTACTATGAATAATATTCCTTATTTTTATTGTTATTTTTTTTTTTCAAAATTACACATAGAGAAGTTCTTTCAAAGAATTTGATGTTGATAAAGTGGATAATGGTTAGAAGCTACATACATTTAGTTACTGTTAGTGATAAAAAATTTAGAGAACTTGTATTTAGTCAGATAAATCTAAATTTAGAATCAATTAGGTTTTCATAGGCAATTAATTGAAATTTGGAAAGAACTTTACATGAAATTAATACTCTATTATGCATAACCATTCCCATGTAGAAGAAGATGTGACGTATGTAAAAAAATTGAAAATCAGAGTTTATCATAATTACTCATTAGAGTATATTAATATTAGTGTTTTTTATGTTTTCATTAATAGTTAGTTATTTAATATGATCATTTTTAAAATAAATAATGTCAAGCACATTTAAACTTTATGTCAAAATCATTGATTGAATTATCTATCTGGTATGTTAATTTTGTGCATCTAATAAAAAATTAAGGAGAAATTTTCACCATATCTTGTGAGGAATTAATAAAATAGATTCAACATTTAGGGCGTTTACTAAGAGGAAAGATTTAGTTTTTCAGACATTCACAAAATTATGTTTCATATATTTATCCTACTTATTATATATATATATATATATATATATATATATATATATATAATAACATTTTTAAGAAACAAGATTTGTTTAGCAAGATTTTTGGTTAATTTTTTTCAAAAAAAAAATAAAAATAAAGTGAGAATTAACATATCATTTCATGTGTTAATGAATTAAAGATTTTGATAAAAATAACATTTTACCTCGTATTCCTATAAATATTTTCCAGCAATGAACAAAATTTATTCCTTTTTAAAAATAATAATTTATAATATTCATTACTTCTAGGCATAAGAATTGTTACCTTTTATTTTAACTACCGCCAAAAGTAAACACCCAAGAAAAAAAAAATAGTTGTTGACATCAATTTACATTCACCTCCTATCAAATAAACAAGAACAATTATCCAAATAAATAAATTAAAAGCAAAATAAAAAGTTTAAATATTTGTTACCCAATTGTAGATGTGTGTAAGATTGGAAAAAATAGATGACTAACATTTGTATCACCTTGATCTAAAAGCGAATGAGTTATAATGAGAGGAACAAAAAAATATAGCAACGATAAAAGAAGAGAAAAAAAAATCAACAGTTTAAGCAGAATTGTCTGATGATTACATTCTACAAAGAAAAATATGTAAATTCATCAAATCTATAATAAAGAAACAATTTATCACATTCTATATGTTTATTATTATGGAAAAACATTTCATAATTTATAAAATGTTTCCATTAAATACCACAGAATTTTAGCACCTTGTTTAAAATTTTTAAAATTAAAAAAAAAGTTTAATTGAATATTAAGCTAAATAATTCGTTTTTTTATTAACAATTTCCAATTTCAACCCCATTATTAAATAATGGTATGAAATATTTGATTAAGAATATACATATTGAAGGATTCTTTATTATAAAAATAATCAAATTCTGGAAGATTTTAAATTCAATATCTTCTAAACTCTGAACATCAAAGTGAGAGGTGTAACTCAACCACGAATGTTTTAACATAATATTAAAATTTACCCATAGCTATTCAAAATACATATTCAACATATATTAAAAATACTCTTAAAAATCATTTATCTAAATTGGATCCCTAAAGCGATAAAAAGTATAAGAATCGAATTTAATAAAATAATATTTTTATAATATAATAAATTTATTAATAATAATATTTTTAAAAATAATAATAAAATTATTATTACAAGCATTATAAATTATAATAAAAATTATAAGTATAAAATATATTAAAAAAATATAATATAAATAATTATTAAAATAAATACAATAATAATAAATTATTATTTAAAATTCATGTGACTAATTTAAGATTAAAAGATAAAATATATTATATTTTTTATAAAAAATTATATTAAGAAAACTTAATTTTTTTATTAAAATTATTTAAAAAAATAGTCAAATTTTTTAAGTTTTATTATGATTTAATTAAAATCCTGTCAAACCAATTTTTAAATAATGAAAGTACTCTTGAAAGAAATCATTAAAAACCATTAAAAAAACTCGTTTAATATCGATATTTAGAATTTCAAAAGTATAATACAGTAAAATGATAGACAAGTGTAATTCAAAAATTAATGACAGACTTTACTTTCATTTGCTATTATATAAGTTGGATTTCTAAATTGATATTACCATGATATGAGTAATCTGTAACCTTCACGTGATCAAACTAAAATATTGTCGTCACAAAATACCAGTTTTTGTTGTTCTAATATCACACGAGTGTATTGACCCGCTGCATAATATATATTTATTAAACTTCTGTTCATACTTCAATGCATATAATTTAATATTAAACTTCTGTTCATACTTCAACGCATAAAATTTAAGATATAAAGATTTGGAATGTTAATTATAATTGCATATCACTTATGAGTTAAGATTTAATATATTAAACTTCTGTTCATACTTCAATGCATAAAATTTAATACCACAAATTTTCAATACATGCAAATAAACAAAACAGTTCAATTTAATGAGCGAGATGAGAGAGTGTAGTAAAAAAAAAAGGGTGTTGAGAGTTAAAATTTGACGGAACTTAGCATAATTCAAAAAATATAACCCTTGAAGGAGCTGTTTGGTATTCGGGATAGGCATTCAAACTATAATTTCCCTTTAACCAATACCAATTATAATATCCACTCAAATCTGCAAGCGATTTCTTTCATTCCTAAGAGTCAACTTCAGTGAAAACAAAGTGGCACAAAATACAAATGCACATCCAACCATGGCAGAGTTAAATACAATGCTGGAACAATATGTGAGGGAGAACTATGCCTTTCCTTTCCCAGCCTGAAGAGATTGAATCCTTTGTTGCAATTTTAGTATCTGCAAGGTTGACAAAAGAAATTGCAGATGATGAGTCGTTTATAGGCTCCATCTGGCTAAAATAATCTTTTATCAATGCATGAAATTGGATCACCACTACATATGAAGACCATATCACATGTATCCATTCAAGGCAATATATAATATACCGTAATTTTTGGTCTCTTGACAAGCGAAGATCTAATCAACCAAAACAGTGCTCATGTATACTTTACTTCATTTCAATTTCTCGTGCAGGGTCTAGAAATAACAGGTTTGGAATTTAGATACCCTTAGATAAGACGGAGAATCTGCTAAATGATATAAACTAGTGGCATATGTGGTCTCTAAGATCCAGCAAATATTATTCTGTAACTCTTTTCCAGAAGATCTTATTACACACGAAGGGTTGTATCCAATTTATCTAGTTTCGCACCTAATTTTAATATTTATCATGAATACTTCTTCTGACAAATAGTAACAACAACATGTCATAAAATTAATAAAATTTTCACTTATTGCTAACAATCATATAGTACTAAGTAAATGTTAGTTATAAGACTACAAACCTATGAATTTTCAATTATGCACAATCACGAAGATGGCATCACATAGTTTAACAACTGGATTTATGAATTTTGTACTTTACAAAAAGTTATTAGGAGGAGTAAATGTCAAAAACTTATTTCTCGAATAATTTGATCCTTCCTTATAATAAATTTTGAATTTTGGATATTGAAATGAATGCAACTTATCTGCATCAAATTCAAATATCAGATGCAATGACAAAAGCCATGTAAAACCAGAGACCAAAGTTAAAAAAGTAAGCAAGCAACCAAAAGTTACAAACCGTTTCTTTCTTGCTATTTTGCTTCTCTTCCAAATCTTGAACAGTGGCATCAAGACGCTTCCTGTAACACAGAGACCACTTACATTTGTGAAGACAATAATAAAAATTATAAAGTGCATACCAAAACCAGCCCCAACCACAAATGAAAAAGATGTCAAGAAAAACACAAACAAGCCAGCAACAGTAACAGTATTAGAAATGAGGGGAAGAGAGAACACAGAGAATAAACGAAGGGAGTGGTAATGCATCTAGCCGTGTGATGAATATTTGGTAATCTTTTGTGCATATTGTTATCGTCCAGTGGTTAATATTCAATTTAAAAGTCCTTTTTTGGAAACTGATTCAATTTTTCCCATTCCTTAGCTATAAATCGTCGATGAGAGATGAGACAACCATCTAAACAGGCCTTTGCATGTTGTGGGTTATTAGTACCTGAAGGCTCTTTAAATATAGTCCTAGTTTAAAAGCAGATTTTGAAATAGATTAATCAAGTGAGGCCTTAATGATTTCCTACAAATGAAAATGATGGTTGGAAATATGGAAGAAAAAAAAGTAAGAATGATGAGTAACCTGAAGATTATAAAAGTCCTCCACAGTTTTTTAGTAGAAATAAAACTCAATCACAATGTTAGGAATCACATGACAATGAACATCTAGAGCAGCAAAAGTTTGCTATCCAAGTACTAGACTTGACATGCAGTTACTCCATTGTGAAGGTAATTGGAGTGCCACTAAGCTGGTAAAATTGATATTTATTATGTATTTCGTTCTTAAAATTTTAGTACCTATTATGCGCTAATTAAGTTTGCAACCATATTCTAATGTTGGAACTCGATTTAGACAGCCTTCCCCTCGTTACCCCTTTACAATAAAAGACAGATGGAAGATCATACATTGATAAAAAGGTTCAAGGAGAAATGCTTATTGTCTTACAACATATTCAACCTACTCAACAGTAGCCTGCTTTTAGTGGGTTGGCATTACCCATCCTTGATGTTAATAGCTTCGAAGAAAAAACTAACTATAATAGCCTCACATAAATAGCAGATACCTCAAGTTCACCAAATTTCTCTTTTTTCTAAACTTACAAAAATCAAGCCTAAGGATTGGACACCAGTTAGTTCGTTGACTGGGAATCAGTTCTACAACCACAGATGATAATCATATCAATTGAAACATAATAATAGAAAACGAAAACCGTTCCATTTTCTATACGAAGCAATAGAAAAAGTGGTGACAAACTCTTTGGGAGACACAAGATAGTCACACTCACACAACCACGATAAGCTAATCATACGAATTGAAACAACAATAAAGAAACCCAATACCCATAAAAATAGGAGGAAAAAAAAAACACAAGCTTACAATTCTGCAGAGATGTATTCGATTCTCTTGCCGACATTTGCATTGGCCTCGGCCAAATCTTGCTTAACAAGTACTGGCCCAATCAACTTATAAACATTTGCGTCTTCTCTCAACAAATCAAGTTCCTCATTAAAATAAACACACAGAATCAGTGAACACACAACCGCAGCAGGAAGAGCCAGATGATTTTTATTTCGGTAAGATAAAAAGGGTACCTTAAGGACGAGCTCGTTCTCGCCAAGCTGGACCGTGTACTTCTTTCTCATTTGGTGATTCTTCGCAATTTCTGCAAAAAAGAAAGGAAAATTCGTCGCAGGAATTAGAATAGTGAAAAAAAAAAATAGAACAGTAATAGATAAGGGAGAATAGTGAGCGTGCCCTTTTGAAGCTTGCTGAGATCGTTGGCTTTGTTCTCCAATTCGCGTTGAAGATCTCTGAGGTTGGACGAACTCATCGTGTTTCTGACCTTCTTGGTTCGGTCGCAGGTGCAGAACACCCAAGGCTACTGCTTTTGTTCTTCTTCTTGTTGGGTCGGCCCAAGCCCATATCAATTGACCAGCCCAATCTCACTCGATTCTATAATTTCTATTTTAAATTTATAAACGCCCATATCTTTACTAGTATTATTTAATATGCAAATTTTATATTTCTAATTAGTTATGATAAAATATGAATATTTTCAGATTTTATGATACGTTAAATGGCATGATTATAATTATTTATTGCAAAAAGTAAAAATGATATAGATCATATAATTGAAATATATGGCATCATTAAAAATTAATAAATTTGTTTACAGAATAACATTACAAATATCTGAATGTAATAATTGTCATTATAATAAATCAAAATAATTAAAATTTAATATGTCTTTTTTCGTAGTTTAAAATTGTTGGTAGTTTTTTAATAAAACATTTAATTTATTTTTCTTTATTTGTCAGAGACTTTGATTACACGTGAGTTGTTTTCCAATGAGAAAAAAGCATCACGGTTTTGTTAAAGGGATCGTTGTTTTACATTAATTATTAGAATTATGGATAATTATGAATCAATGATGTTATTTGGCTTCACACACACTCTCTTTAAAAATAAAATAAAAAGGGGGAAAAGAAGAGCATATTCCAACCTAACTAACTATCAGAGAGAGAAGAAATAGAAAAGTTCAATTTTCATTTAGGAGAAAAAAAAAAGGAAGCTAATAAAAGTATATGAAAAGAAAGGTGGAAAATGATATCTGTGTTGAAAGGAATGAGATGGGAAGATAGATAGAAAGATATATGATATGCATTCTCTTCCCCGCCAAACCGTAACAAAACCAAATCACACAAATAAATATCTTCTTCCTTCCATTCCTATGACGTGGTCGGAATTCACTTCAGATATTTTCTATCAAAATATCATCTCACAACCTTAGTGTTCCCCACGTTGACTCCATTCCTTTTCCTTTTCACCCCTTTTTTCTCCCTTAAACTACCAAATTGCCACTCCTCTCTTCACCCCTTACTCCCTCTCGTAATTCCTCCCTCTCCGAGGGGCATTTCCGTCACACCACTCCATCAACTTTAACGTTGTCAGAGAAGAACAAGAGAGAGAAAAGAAAGAGATTGTTGTTATTTTTCATTCTTGCAGTTCAAGAAGAACGACAACAACACATGGCTATGGCAAAAGAGAAAGAGGAAGATGAAGAGGAGGTTCAGAACTGTGGGAAGAGGTTGAAATGCATGAGGAATGATGAAGAAGATGATGGTGGTGGTGAAGCTGTTTATGAAGAAGAGAGTGAGCTTCCTCTAAAGCCAGGGATTTTCTTCTACCCGACAACCCCAACTTCCTTTGTTGTCTCTGATGCTCTTGAACCTGATTTTCCCGTCATATATGTCAACAAGGTCTTTGAAATCTCCACTGGGTATCGTGCTGACGAGGCCCTCGGTCGCAACTGGTTAGAATTTTCCTCCTTTTCACTCTATTTTGTGCAAATTTGATCCCTTAATATCTGGGGTTTTACTCTTTTTGTGCATTTGACTCTGAAATTTACTTGGTTGGGTTGAAATCATCTTCCTCAAACTATAACCCTTTTCTGGGTCTGTCAGATTGTTCTGTTCCTTCAGATCTATGCTTTAGTTGAGATTTTTTATGTGTTCCATTGGGTCATATAGTTTAGAGATCGGATTCTACTGTATCGAAATTCTTAACTCAGAAACATCTTATGGCTTTTGCATACTACATTCTCACTGGATTGTGAATTTTTATTGGCAGATTAGTAATGTTTTATCCCTCTGTTGCGTATTTGTTTTGGCAATTTTTCATTTGCTATGGTTAGCCCTTCTATTAAACTTTTTGTTCTCCGTTTTGATTATTCTCAAGCTGGAGTTTTTTTTTTTTTTTACCGGCCATCCTTTTGGAACCCTTATTTTAACCATTTTACAATATGCTTTGTGAAGTTGCGATTGGCTGATTCTTCAAATTTTCCTTGTTACTGTCATAATATTATTACTGGTATAAATTTTCAGCGAAATTTATGAAGTATACACAAGTGTTATTAATGCTCAAATATGCTAGAATATCGATGTATGGGTATAATCATTAAAAAATATCATGTTTTATCCATTGAGGAGAGCAATTTTCTACCAAAATTGGAGAAATGTGTTTTGTCAACGGTTAGTGAGGGATAACTTTCTGGTTTGGCTGTAAGAGTTTTTGGTGTCTCTAATTTGACTCTGGTTACTTTTGGTCCCAAATTAAAAGTGATTATTTCCGGCTCCCTAATTTGATCGTGATCATCTTAGACCCCTATTAAGGACTAAAAGTAGGTTTTGGGACTAAAGAAATCACTTTATTATTTGAAGGACCAAAAACAAACTGAACTCAAATTTAAGGAACTGAAAATATTTAAGTCTTAAAAAAATGGATACTTCAAAGAATATTATGATTGAAGGTTTATCATTTGTTAGGGCTTGTGGTTCAGCTTACTCTGAAAAGCATTTTGATCAGAGGATATTGATTAAAAATGTGACTTTCATGTTGTCAATAATAGGAAAGCTTCCTAGTTAAGTTTAAGAGTTTGTTTTTTTTGTAAATCCTTCTTCCAGTACCCCTACTTAATCCCCTACTTAGCAACAATTTGTTTTGAAACTTTGGCATTAAACTGACCAAATGGCATAGTGTGATTCATAATGGGATAAGGCTTTGTTATATACTGATTTGGGTTATTTTAGAAAATGTCCAATAATTGCTTTGAAATTTCTTTTGTTTCAGTCGGTTCTTACAGTATAGAGATCCTCGAGCTCAGAGGCGACACCCTTTGGTGGATCCTGTTGTTGTGTCTGAGATTAGAAGATGTCTTGAAGAAGGTGTTGAGTTCCAAGGTGAACTTCTGAATTTCAGAAAGGATGGTACGCCTTTGGTGAACAGACTGAGACTTGCACCAATTCACGACGATGATGGGATAGTGACACACGTAATAGGTATTCAACTCTTTTCTGAGGCAAATATAGATTTGAACCGTGTCTCGTATCCAGTATTCAAAGAGACTTGCAGTCAAGATTTTGATAAGAATGGTAAATATTCTCCGAAGAGTGGACAATCTTTGTACAGTCAGCACCAAGAGATGTGCGGCATTCTTCAGCTTTCTGATGAAGTCTTGGCTCACAACATTTTGTCACGCCTAACACCAAGGGACGTGGCATCCATTGGGTCTGTATGTAGGAGGATTCGCCAATTAACAAAGAATGAGCATGTCAGGAAGATGGTATGTCAAAATGCGTGGGGCAAAGAAGTGACAGGCACATTAGAACTGATGACCAAGAAGTTAGGATGGGGACGCCTAACTCGGGAACTTACTACCCTAGAGGCTGTTTGTTGGAGAAAACTGACAGTTGGAGGTGCAGTGGAGCCTTCACGCTGCAATTTCAGTGCTTGTGCCGCAGGAAACCGACTGGTATTGTTTGGAGGTGAAGGAGTGGACATGCAACCTATGGATGACACTTTTGTTCTAAATCTTGATGCTAAAAATCCAGAATGGCGCAGGGTTAGTGTGAAATCATCTCCACCTGGAAGGTGGGGCCACACACTCTCATGCTTAAATGGTTCTTGGTTGGTGGTTTTTGGTGGGTGTGGTAGGCAAGGACTGCTCAATGATGTGTTTGTGCTTGATTTGGATGCTCAACAGCCAACATGGAGGGAAGTCTGTGGTGGAACCCCACCACTTCCTAGGTCATGGCATAGTTCTTGCACAATAGAAGGGTCAAAATTGGTTGTCTCCGGGGGGTGTACAGACGCAGGAGTACTTCTAAGTGACACGTATTTACTGGACCTCACAACAGATAATCCAACATGGAGAGAAATTCCAACTTCATGGGCTCCTCCATCTCGGTTGGGGCACTCACTCTCAGTCTATGGGAGGACAAAGCTGCTCATGTTTGGTGGACTTGCCAAGAGTGGACACTTGCGGCTGCGATCTGGTGAGACTTATACAATTGACTTAGAAGATGAACAACCACAGTGGAGGCAACTAGAATATAGTGCATTTACGGGATTGGCAAGTCAAAGTGCTGTTGTTCCTCCTCCCAGGCTGGATCATGTTGCTGTCAGCATGCCTTGTGGGAGGATCATTATATTCGGAGGTTCCATTGCTGGTCTTCACTCACCTTCTCAGCTCTTTCTGTTGGACCCTTCTGAAGAGAAGCCATCCTGGAGGATCCTCAATGTTCCAGGGCAGCCACCTAAATTTGCTTGGGGTCATAGCACTTGTGTGGTTGGGGGGACTAGGGTACTCGTGTTGGGTGGACACACTGGAGAGGAATGGATACTGAATGAGTTGCATGAGTTATGCTTGGCTAGTCGTCAGGACTCCGACCTGTGAAGTGCATAAAACCAGACCCTCTTCTCCAAAGACAAGATTTTGGTTGCAAAAAAGGTTTTGGGTGGGTTTTGTTCAGCAGTTTGGTTTTGTATATGAACTATTATATAATTGTTATATGACATGACGTGTGTATTACCCGTGTTTTTGAATGATGTATGATGCCATTTGGCTCCTCTACCCTCTATGACTGACACTAGGAAACAAACCTCTGTACATCATAGAGTTCTTGCCTGTTGTATCATCCCTCCTTTTTCTTTCACAATTAGTTTTGTTAATAATTAATTCTTTTATTATTATTTCCTTACATCAACTATGATGCAACCAATATAATATAGGAAGGAGAAAAAAAGAAGAAAATGGGAGAGAAAGGTGGATAGATATCAAAAGAATTTGAAGAAAATTAAATATGAGGATTGAAAGTTAAGAAATCTTTAGTTAAAGTGATTTAGTTGAGTGGTTAACAAGGGTGAACGACTTAATGTCAATTAAAAACAATTAATAAATGCTTAAACTTTGGCCTATGTGTTTGAAAGTATTAAGTCTTATTTAACCATGGTACTAAAATTATAACCATGATTGAAAATTATTAATGTAGGATGTTATAAACAAGTAAATTAGTAATATTTTTTTAGTTTCAATTGGCATATGATATCCGATGGTTTTTAGAAAATAAATTACTTTCATGTGTTTAGAATGACCCGCAGTTAATAGAAAAACCACAGGGCCAACAGTTTCGAATCCAGTAGTGTATAATTTTTCAAGTTATTTTTTTTAATAGTTAACCGCACAGAACCATCACTGAGAAGAGTGTTATATAAAGTTTCTATTAGAGATGAATATAAGAATTTATCAAAAACATTAATATAAGCCATCCATTTTAAACCAATTATCAGTTAGATTAATGCCATGCTTATGCAAATGGTCACCTCGGTTTTAGTTGTGATTGTTTGTGACAACGTTTATTTAATCATTGACGCTTTCAAATCAAGTTATTGGCATATATAGCAAATAATGAAAATTAAGAGACTACTAAAACGGGGAAGTTCTTCGAACATAATCAATATGGTCGTAAAAACCAAACATCTTAACTCGAAAGTTACATAAAATCACAACATAGAACTCTGGGATGCTTTATACACTGTGGTGTGCGGGTCAAAAGAATTATACGCAAGTACGAATTCCACTTCCTGCCATGACCGTGGACTTCTCTGTTCGTGTTTGAATAAAAAATAGTAAAAACTAAAAAATCTAAAACAAATCTTTCCTCGCAATATCTGTTGCAAACTCTGGGATCTCATTATTTCCAAGCCACGGAGTCAATATCATCCCTAGCTTGCTTGTATAATTCAAGCCTTTTAGCTATTTGATTTCTCCTTTCCATAAGGGCTGGATCTTCATCCAACATAGCACTCAATTTCTCCTTCTGCATAATAGCTCCCGTAATCAGTTATAATTAACACACATAATCTTATCACTTTTTGCAACAAACAAACAAAATCAAGTCCCTAATACTGTGCCTATCTTGCATAAACAATCTTCACAACGGAATTCTATTGTCCTTTCCCTAAAATCTTTGTTAATTTGCTTATATGAGCTAGTATATGCACCACTAGATACCCTCTACAACACACTTGTATAGCAGTGTTATGCATGATTTAATGATGGCTAAATTGCAATTGTAATTTTTTTTATTCTTTATCTACTACTTTTTTTCCCCATAATTTTAACCCTTCAATTTTGGCTAATTCTTAATATTGCAAACCTTTTGTTTAATTGAACTACAATCATAACACATTCATTTAAGAAACCATCAAGAAATAATTTAAGTAATTAAAACAAAAATAAAAGAAATTAAGTTATACAAAATTGAGGATTGGCCCAAATTTCGGGATTTTCTAAACTTTTTAGTCTAAAATTGCAGATCAAAAATTTAAAAAAAAAAAAAAAAAAAAAACAAAAGACCAAAATTGTAAATTAACCTGACTAAAATACATAGCCACAGGGAACCTAACCAACAGACTGTCCCAAACTTAATAATTTAAAAAACTTAGTCCAGCAGTATAATTAGATTCACCATATCCAGCTTATACTTGAATGATATTGACAAAAAATTGCATTTCATTTCGTACTACATGATATCGACAAAAAATTTCATTTCGTAAGCTTATACTTGATCCAGGTTCATTACGTTTCCCATGGACAAAGGAGGCGTAGCATTGTAATTATATAAGTAAATTCACCCAAACCAAACGTAATTATAACTTGTCTACACAATGAAAATAACATATTTAAGGAATGAGAGAAGATTGTATCTAAGATGGGAAAAATTTAACCCTAAGATAAAAAATCATACCTCCTTCCTGCCAACTTGAACGTAAAAGTGGTTTAGCAATGATCGCTTAGCTTCTCTAACTTGACAATGAACCACGGCCTTGGGTATGGTATTCTTAAGTGTATCGCAAACCATACTGATATAGGAATTTACATTTGATCCTGTATCAAGGAACATGAAATACAGAATAATGAATGTATAACCATATAGATATGTAAAAATAATCTCGAAGCAAAATACTAATTAAGTGGAATTATGACATTTAAATTTAAACCGTCCATTCCAAAGAGATTCCCAAAGGATAGAATTTTAATGCATCTCGCTCTTTATTTTGTAGGAACGAAAACTTACACAAGATACGAGAAAAAGAGATTTACACATCTTTCTCAAAACCCTAACTTTCTCATACACATTTTTTAATATTTTTGAGAGAATGAACTTATGAAAAAAAAAAACTTTATTTTAAAAAAATAATGGCCGTTTTTTAATTGAAAACGACATATGCTGACTTCTAAATATTGCTTGCAAACATTACAAAACTATTACTTTCAATGAAAGATAAGTCTTGTAGTCCTAGAATAAGAATATACTTATAATACAATTTACACATCTTTCTCAAAACCCTAACTTTCTCATACACATTTTTAATATTTTTGAGAGAATGAACTTATGAAAAAAAAATATATATTTAAAAAAAAATCCGTTTTTAATTGAAAACGACGTATGCTGACCAAATATAAGAAAACGAAGTTCCAAATATTGCTTGCAAATATTACAAAACTATTACTTTCAATGAAAGATAAGTCTTGTAGTCCTAGAATAAGAATATACTTATAATACAATATTATACTTAAATGTTACAAAAAGGCTTGAAGAAAATTATGTTACCAATTTTGCGCAGGTGATTGTCAGTATAACTGTCCACATTTGGTGGACCATTCCGATTTGGATTTGGTGGTCCATTGGGATTCTTTTCTGGTTCAAAATGAATCTTCCTGAAAAACTCCACGGTTAAATAGCTAGACTCCATATCAACCAACCGTGCAACTGTCTTCCTGCTTTCTTCTCGGAATTTTTCAAGAGATTCATTTGCGGCAGTTGCTATATCATTTGAAAGTGTTGGAAATCTTTTCAGTTCCTACATGTCATATATAGGACAACTGTAAGATTTAATTATCTCTTCCCCGGTATGTTTTCCCAATCCAAATTCAACCCTTCATTTCCTAAGTTAATGATAGAAAAACTATTCACAGGCCCTGGAACGAATCCTTACATCAGTTATTTAGCAATCAGGTATACTACTCATATCCTTCATTATTAGCCTTCAAACATTCACTAATTTTTTCACACCCAAAAAGAACCCTAGTAACCACCTCAGACGCATGAATTTGATGTGAAATAAAAACGGACGCATCCAACTCGCATCTTGTTTATTTGAAAATTATGAGATGTCCGAAAAGAGTTTCATCAACATGAACATTGCTTTTACCTCAGTTTCTGCAATTGATTTCCGTACAAGTTCCTTTAAAACAAAGTGAACCTGTAGAATAGAAGAAATCACGCCGGGCAATTTAACACAAAAAAGAACAAATGTAAATAAAGAAGTTCCGTAAACCCTAAACAGCTAGCATGCAGTATACAATTGAGTATAAGAAAAAACATCAGGATTTCATCATCGGAAATCATTTATTAGCAAATAGACTCAGAAAGCAAAACGGAATTGGGAGTAGTGCAATTTCAGTTTAACAACATTCCAGGTTTGGGTTGATATGGAAGAAAGTAAGAGGAAACTATAAAGACGTTCACAATAGCATGCTTGTATATATTGACGTGATCTCATGATTTTCATTAACTTGATTTTGCCTTGAAATCCTACACAATTACCTCCTGCCGTGATCAACACTAAGATGATCACTTGAGAGGTGATAAGGCATTATTTGAAAAAAAAGAAAAGAATTAAGAGAGAAAGCAATACAGTATTTGTGGAGGACATATCATGTCTAAATAATCAAGCATTTCATATATGCGGTAATTTCATCAGACTAAGGAACAAGATGTAAAACTAAAACAAAATATAATAAAGTCAGAAGATTACAGCATCCACAGAGGCTTCGGCTGGGCCTTTGAAATAACCGATAGATCCTTCAATGAGTCTTCTGTAACCCTGCTCGGGAGCAATTAGATGGGGCTGGTACCCATCAGCTTCAGTGACAATTCTCTGGACATTTTTCAAGGAAAGATGGCGATCGAAAGGGAGCTTTTTTAAAGCAGCTGGTAATTGGTGATCAAAAACTCCATATATCCGGTCCCCACCAGCACGTCTGAAATAGAAGTTAGTTGGCTTGGCTAATCAAATAGATTAACTTTCTAAAAAGGTTGATACTGTAAAAAAAGAAAAAGTGTTGCATAAAAATAATTTGTTATGAAAACCAAACAAGCAAATTCTAGAGCTCAATAACAGCAGTTACCCTCCATCCAGGTGTTCTTTAAATACTTTGTCAAATGCACGACACATCTCTAAAATAGTGTACAGTTGGGCCTACAAAAACAAGTAAAACCACTTAAAACACTCGAAAATAAAGTACTTTCAAATTAAAGAATTCAACACAGGTCTTAGTTCAAACCCCTGAATCCACAGCAATTGGCCTGCCAATACGGTCCAACTCAGCATTAAGCTCATCAATAGTCTTATTTATTAAGGCAATGATACTAGGTATCTTCTGCCTGATAACTTGCTCCAAATGCTGTAGTCATAAAAACCAGTGAAAGAAAGAAAATCAATTGCAATTGGAGGAATTAGAATCAATGAATAATAGTAAGTTTAAGTAATATATGAAAAATGTTACTGAAAATGAGTTAACTAGAATACCTGAGATAAAAGCTTGGCAAGATATTCTGATCCCATTTTATGTGCCAAATGTCCATATTCAGGACTTGTCTCAAAATATTCCCGCTCCTTTCTACGAGCTGCGATCATGTCAACATTTCTATTAATATCAGCTTGTGAACGGTTCACAATTCCAACCCATGGATGCTGCAGCCTGTATTGCCTTCCCTCGAGAACCTTCAGGGTTCACATAAAAAAATATCCCGTCATTTCCACTTGCAATCAAATAATAAACTATATAATCTCATTTAAATAGAAGGAAGTCAATATAAGATATTGAACAACAAAACAGAAGATGTTGCAGTTGTTAATAAATCATACATCAACCGCATTAGTTCCTTTATCCATAAGATCAAGTTTGGTAACAACACCAAATGTTCTTTCACCTGAAAAATATAAAATAAAAGTTTTTTCTAAATGCTGGCCAAGAAAGAAAGAGAAAAAAGAAAATTGGAAGAATACAAATCTACCCTCGAATTGCTTCCAATATAGACAACCATACCTGAAGGGTCAACTTCTCTTGCAATTTTTATGGCATCTGAAGTGGCAATATCTTGATTTGCAGGAGAGATAGCTAAGATAATGCAGTTTGGCTTCACCATCAAAGAGCTCAATTAGATCATTTACATTAAACATTGAAGATAATTTAGAGCAAGAGTAGACAGTGAAATTGACAGAAGCACATAAGAAAGGTAGTTCAATTTGCTTAAAACGGAACACATAATGCAATCAGAGGAATATTCTTGTAACTATTATTTTTGTTTGAAGGGGTTCAATTTGCTTAAAACAAAACACAAAATGCAATCAGAGGAATATTCTTGTAACTAGTGTTTTTGAAGGGGTTCAAAGTGTTCTGAATCATATTTCTTCTTTAAATAACAGTGTGATTTAGAAAAGTTCTTTAGATCAAGCTTGTTTAAAAAAAATTAAAATCATGTCTACTTCATTTTTCTCTTGATATCAAAAGTATAATTACCTTTTCAACATAAGAGCGGACCATGTTTTCAATATCTTGAACAATACTCTCCTGTTGCCCCTCTGCAAAAGAAGGAAAAATTATTATATGTCTGAGGTTCGAACAAGTCCTCTCAGAATACCACTCAAATTGTATAAACATACTGAGAAATATATTCAGGTTTACCTACTGCAACCTTTGTCAGCCCAGGAAGATCTATGAGGGTCAAGTTTACAACTGCAAAAGATGCCCATAAATCATCATACATCACACATCTCAAACCAAAAATGTCATACATGTAGAAAGTGGTCGTTAACTATGTCATTTCCTATTTCCGAACAAGGATGGTAAGGACTAAATGAGAGAGCCAAATGATCTTCAACCAAAAAAAAAAAAACATATATATATATATATATATATATATATATATATATATATATTCCAAAATTGTACAAGTAAAGTGCAATGCAGCAAGGAATCTTCACTTTGAAGCAATCACAGCTAACAATGATTCTCAAAATTACAATAGTCAATCTAAAGTTTTCTGAGATCACTATTTACGATTATTTTAAGAAATAAAAATTTTGCACTGAACTTTATGCAGGATTTGCAAATTCAAATCAACTACCTAAGCAGTCATAAAGCTTCAATTATAGCCACAGTTAAAAATAATCAGCTAATAAAACAACCATTGAAACTATAAGCTGGATAATTAATTTGTAGAATCACCAGCAGAAAAGGACAAGAATATTTAAGTTCAGAATTCAATCAACACTGATGTAACGTTCACTTTTAAATAAAGCAGAAGATTAAATCCTCCTAGTTTTGAGAAGATTCATTCAACTATGTCACAAAATGTAGCCATACTTTAAATTATAAGCCATCATTAGTCACCACAATCAAATGAGAAATAAGATGGAAATGGTAATAAAGAGATACAGGACAACATTATAAGTTCTTAATCAATTGCTTTCGAGATTTATGTCATGTCATGTTATCAATGGGCAATACAGGTACAAACCATTTGGAGAATAAATGCTGAGGTGAATTGGAATGTTTGATATTTGTTTTGTCTTCCCAGTAATACGGTCTGTTTCGTCTGCTATTTCCTTCCTCACAGCAGCTACATGGGCAGTAAAGGAACATTATAGAACCAATTAATTGAGTCGTTAGTACAAACTCTAACTGCAGCTGTTATTTGTTATCCTCCCACTGAACAATGGACACATAGACAAACATAACAAATCCCCGAGCTCAAACAGGCCCTGGCTATATATACATACTACATATCATCCGCAAGCTCATGGCCTCTATTTTCATTTGAAAGCTATACTACCATCACAACTATTGACACTTTTATAAACAAAGAAAATAAACTGAAACAGGATATTTAGATAGAAACTTAATTTACCAAAGTCAGTGAATCTCTTTCTCTGTAAGTGAAGAAACTCCGCATACTCCTGTGTCCCATTATCTGTCTTGTGAAGTTGCAGCACTAGTGGTCTCCGTGTAACAATACCTTAAATAATACAAAACAAACAAAAAAGGTCAATAAAACCATTGAGAGACAAGGAAATAAGTTATAACCATCCTCCACGACCACCAACAGGAAAATGCGCGACGTGTTGTAGTAATTAAAGAAAATAACATCAATAATTTAATACATTTTTCATTAGTATAAAAGGATGTCAATTTTCTTTAATGTTTTTGGTTTACACATTTTTTTATATATATAATTTTACCTTTCACATAACATTTTGATAACTACTTCTTTTAATGAAAACTGTTCTGCTACTTGTTACTTCTATTTTAGTAACTGCTTTTTTTAGTAGGTAAGAAAATGTAGATATCCAGTGTCGTGTTTCCATGACAACATCCTCAACAACAACAACAACAACAACACAATAATAATAATAATAATAATAATAATAATAATAATAATAATAATAATAATAATAATAATACCATAGCCACGAGAAAAAAAAAGCTTCATTATTCTTACGCAAAACAGTGACCAGTTTTTCATACTAGTGTTTCCTTTCACAGTCAGTAACCACTAGACAGCAGGGTATCATTTCTTGTAAATCTATATCTATTGGGAGTACTGCTTTATGGACTACAATGCTAAAGAGATCTCGTAAAATAGCTAACGAGAGGAGAAAGAGAGTGAGAATCACCAGATCCACGAGGCAGAAAATCTCTTCCGACCACGCTTTCAAGCACCGACGATTTTCCTGAACTCTGATAATCCACAAAACAAATTTGAAAAACAGAAATAAATAAAGAGTAAGAAAGCACTGTAGTTAGAACGGAGAAGGTGTTCGGTACCTGGCCACCGACGACAGCAACGGAGGGAAGAGCCTCCCAGAGCGATAAACCCTCGCCGCCGTAATCGCCTAAAACGGTGCAGGCTCGTTGGATCTTATTGATGAGACCGATCAAGCTCGTCATCGTCGCCATTTTGGAATCGGAAATAGATCGGATCGGATCGGATCAGAAGAGAGATTTAAGGAACGAACGGAAGGAGATCTAACGAGAGCGGGGTTTATGGTTTTAGATCGACGAAACGCGCTTCGGTGGATGCAGAATGTGCATCCAAAGAGATGGGAAATTCGAACGGGAAAACCAACAGAAACAGAAAAATAATGTATTGCAACCAAACGGTTCTTTATTTCGTGTGATGCGACGGGGCAAATGGTCACTTCACACGTTCCTATATGGGTTAAAAGAAGTTCGTTCTAAAGTCATTTTTTGAATCTTATTGTGACATGACATTCACACCATCCAAATAAAAAACAAATACTATCAAAATTTTAAAATATTCATAACCGTGTTTTCTTGCTAAAAGAATAAAAAAGCAGCGTTTTCTTGTTGTCTTAAAAGGAACTGCGCTTTCTTAAAATAACTAAATTACTTATTTAGTCTTATAAAAATATACTTCAAAGATTTATTTATGATGTTAGATCATTTAAGAAATAACTTATAATATTGTATTCGTTTATGTATGTATATATAATTTCTATATATACGATGTTGTTCCTTTAAAATATTAAAATATAAATTAATCAATTAATTCTTAAAATGCATTTCAAAATTGTGTCAATATATAATAGTAAAAAAAATTCACATATAAATAAAAAATAAAATAAAATACTGTACCTTAAAAAATGTTTATTATTAGACAATGAATTATATAACGTCTAAAATTTATTTTTATCTCTTTTTTATTATTTTAATATTTATATCTTATTAAATATCACATAATTATGGTGTTTATGATTTTTTTATATATAATAACACTGTAAAATAGTTAATATAATGTAATATTTACTGTCTAATTATTATATAATTATCTTAAAAAGCAATTAATATATTGTAATAATTACTATATTATTAATATTGTTAGGATTTATTATTGAGTTATTATTTTAATTTAATTAATAAAATTATATATATATACATATATATATTATTATAGTGAAATATATTATAATCTGTAAATATACATTCACTTATTCGCTAATTAAATTGTAATAATATTTAAACAAATGTTCAAATTTTTATTCGAGAAGTAGTTGGATCAGGCCCAAGAGAAGACTAACGGGCCTCAAGCCCATTTTCCATGCTCAGTGTTGGAAACTAACGTTAGTCTCTGATGAAACGCAGTGCAACGCAACGAAGCCACCATTGTAAGTCTTGTTTAAGCTTCATTTCGCTTGCAGAGCCTGAGACCTCAATCAATGGTCACAAGAAGAAAGCTCCTTAACTTGTTATCAACCCTGAACGTTTCCGATCTACTTCCCTTCCACGCCAATGCTTTTAACCCCTTTTCCAAAACCCCCAAAACCCTTAGGGTTTATTATGGAAGCCAATCATCCAAACTCCCGGAATACGAGATGCCATCGGTAACATGGGGCGTCATTCAAGGCCGCAAGGAGAAGCTCGTTTCGCGAGTAATCATCTTCGACTACCTCAAGGGTTTGGGAATCATCCCCGACGAATTGCACGACCTCGAACTTCCCTCCACCGTCGACGTCATGCGCGAGCGCGTCGAGTTTCTCCAAAAAATAGGTCTAACTGTCGATGATATCAACAATTACCCTTTGATCTTAGGTTGCAGTGTCAGAAAAAACATGATCCCAGTGTTGGGTTACTTAGAAAAAATTGGGATTGCAAGGCCCAAGCTTGGGGAATTCGTTAAGAATTACCCGCAGGTGTTGCATGCTAGTGTCATCGTTGAGCTTGCTCCTGTTGTGAAGTTCCTCAGGGGGCTTGATGTAGAGAAAGATGATATTGGGTATGTGTTGCAAAAGTACCCTGAACTTCTTGGGTTCAAGCTTGAGGGTACTATGAGTACATCAGTGGCTTATCTTGTTAGTATTGGTGTGAACCCTAGAGATATTGGTCCAATGGTTACTCAGTATCCTTATTTATTAGGGATGAGAGTTGGTACTGTGATAAAGCCCATGATTGATTACTTGGTCGATTTAGGGCTGCCGAAGAAGGTTTTGGCTAGGATGTTGGAGAAGAGAGCCTATATTCTTGGCTATGATTTTTTGGAAACTGTGAAATCAAATGTAGAATGTTTGATTAGTTTTGGTGTTAGGAGGGAGTGTTTGGCTTCGGTTATTGCTCAACATCCGCAAATTCTTGGTCTGCCTCTTAAGGCTAAGTTGTCCACGCAGCAGTACTTTTTCAGTTTGAAGCTTAAGGTTGATCCTGAAGGGTTTGCACGTGTGGTCGAGAACATGCCACAGGTGGTTAGCCTCCACCAGCATGTGATTATGAAGCCCGTTGATTTCCTTCTTGGAAGGACACTGACAGTGGAGGATGTGGCTAGTATGGTGATCAAGTGTCCTCAGTTGTTGGCATTGAGAGTTGAGCTGATGAAAAACAGCTATTACTTCTTCAAGAGTGAGATGGGTAGGCCCTTGAAAGAGCTTGTGGAATTCCCGGAGTACTTTACGTACAGTTTAGAGTCCAGGATCAAACCCAGATACCAGAAGCTCAAGAGTAAAGGGATAAGGTGTTCGTTGAATTGGATGCTGAATTGTAGTGACCAGAGGTTTGAAGAGAGGTTGCAGGGTCATTACATTGAGACTGAAAGTGTAGGTCCCAGATTTTGTATGGGAGGGAAATTAGAGCTACCGGGGAATGACATGATGTCAGACGAGGAAGATGAGAGTGATGACGAAGTCTTATACAGACGAACTGTTTCTCTTTAGCTCAGCAAATTTTTATTTTGGCTCAGTTGGTGAAACCATTGCAAAGTATAATTGTCATCATGTCCCCAATTGTACTTTTTTGCATTTGTATTGCCAATAGATGACATCAATTTTTGTATTCATTCCTTATGCATTAGTATCTTTGGAGGCTGAGTGAAGTCTGAAATCTTGATATATTACCCTGAACAACACCCATGTAAATTATGTTCGTGCATTTGTTTTAAAAGTTCCTACTGGATTAAGCAAAAGCAAGTAATAATAGGGAAGCTATCTACTTAAACTCGAGAGTTTGTATTCTTACAAATCCTTCTTCCGATTCCTTACTGATTCCCCTAATTACCACCGAGTGATTTCTTTGTATACACTGATTGGGGGTCTTTTTAAGAAACGAAGTGCCAATAATTGCTTGACATTTGAGTCGGTTCTTAGATCCTCGACCTCAAGGAGCAATCACTGGTGGATCTTCTTGTGTCTGAGATTGAAGATGGTAGGATGGACTCTAGGCACAGAAGAAATCACTATCAAATTACTTATTGAATGGGATTTTAGTCAAATGATATTTTGTTATTACCGGATTTTTATTTCCGCTAGTTTTTCTAAACATGTTTTTTTTTTTCTCTGTCATTAGATTATTATTGGTTAACAGTAAGTAATGATTAGTACTGAAGAAAACTTTAAACACATTAATAAGTAGAAATAATGATTAATACTATCAAAACTTTAAACACGTACAAAATAGATAATTGATGCATAGTAGTAATACTAATGACAAGGAGGAGGTTATTTTTTATGTCCCCTTTTCCACCATGATCAAATTTCAATTGATGCATAGAAATACTAACGGTGATGAAGAGGTTTCTTTTAATCTCCGTTTTTCTACCATGGATAAATTTCAGTAGACGAAATCTTTTCTTTTAATTTTTGGTCGTGGTTCCTTCTTTGGTATTCTTTGAACACGACAGAAGAAAAGAGATCCCTAAATTTTAAAATTAATTCGATTTTTGCCGGAAATTTCTTAGTAATTTTAATTTATACACAGACATATATATATAAAGAAATATTACAAGATAAAATGCCAGTGTAACAATTAAGGATATTACAGAGTTGATTGGAATTGATAAATTTGAAAACATAACCAATTGAAATTAATTTGGTTTATATTAAAAGTGAAAATAATAATATAATCGATTCAAATTAATTGAATTTTGTTACTCCAATAACGCTGCAATCTACATTTAGCCTTTGCAAGCATTAATTAGCATGACCTTACATTAGAAGCAAATAAACCAATAGATTATATATTTTAATTTGATGTTATCCCATGTTACAATGAAAATTTAATTGTGATGAATGTCATTATTACTACTAATTTTATCATTATGCAAGTAAATCTTACTGTAATAAAGAGATTTGAACAAACTCCGACCAAATAGTATTATACAGTCTCATCCAATAAAAATTGACGTCTATGATAATCATTTTCTACTTAATCAATACTTACCTTGAAAGTTGTTGGTAAGTTGAATTTTTATTTATTAATAGTGTTGAATTTATAAGAGACATAAATTATAATATTCTAAAAACTTATAAATATATATATATATATATATATATATATATATATATATATGTGTGTGTGTGTGTGTGTGTGTGAAATTTATTTATAATCTAATAAAATAAAATTATATTTTATCTTAATCATTAAATTAAAAAATAAATTATAAAAATAAAAGATAAATATGTAACTCTTATTCTCATATTAAATTAACTTCTTATATATATATATATAATATATTCAATAAAAGTAACTAAAATCTCAAAGTCAATAATACGTGTATTCAATATGTGATTTCAATTACTTAAAGCTAAAATTGGCAAGATTATCGAAAATTAGTTTTAGATCACCTTGGAAGTTAAAAAATAAAATAAAAGTACTGTTATGAAGCTAAAATATAACATTCATCACAGGAAAAGAAATTTCAAAACAAAATATCTAGTTACATCCTTGGTGGTAACAAGGGGTGGAAAGTACCAAATTTAACAACCGTTGAATGAAAGAAGGCAGCACTTGGTGCTTCACACAAGCATGAACTATTAATGTATAACACAACCAAATAAGCTTAGATATTGATCTGATTACAAAGATATTAACAAACCTGAGATGAGAGGACACAATCACACTATCTGCGTATTACAAATATCAACTGCAAAAAGGAGAAAGGGGGGATATAATGCTACCTATACAACCACACAGCCACTCAAAGAAAAGCTGAAGGTTAGCTCCAAGTTAATTTTCTTCCTTTGCCTGGCTTCTTAGCCGATCTCTCTCTAAGCAGGAAATACAAGACTCTATGTCAGACGCATACCGATTCCTCAAACTCTCTTCTCACCATCAATCCATGGCCAATAACATAAACAATGGTCGTCGGAATGCCAGTTACAATCTTATAATCAATTGGGAGAAAAAAGACAAGTAAAAATAAACAGAGAAGGGTAGAAGAACGATGCTATGAAATTTCACTCCTTAGTGCCTCTTCAGGAGACAATGTCATTGGGTGCTGCGTGTCAATCCTCCCCGTGCCAAATTTCTGTGCAAATGTAACATTCCCCATCAGTCAGTTAATGGGGGAATGATGAAGTCAAACATTTGAAAGTTTAATGACCAAATTCAGGAGTTTTTGAAAGTTGATTAATAGTTGATAAAAAATCAACAAAATAATTCCTCAATGCCGAAGGGGATTTTGACAATTACATACTAATGCAGTGTAAGTTTGGTAGAAATAACAATATGTTTTAGAAAAAATGTGGTAGATGAGAAAAACGCTAACAAATAGTGTAATTTTAAGGAAAATATTCTCACGAATGAGGACAAAATATAGAGAAATATTCTAGAAATGGGGCGTATTTACAGAAGACCTGAAACAAAATCTGATGATCATTTACGTAAACAATGCCAAGGCAATATAAAAGCTGTCGCATATATGCAATGAAATATAAAATTACGATCAATAACAATAGTCTTCCTTTTTTCAGAAAATTGATGTAATGTTTTCCAAAACACAAATCACTTGGGCTGCATTTGTCAAAAAAGCCTAGACATTTTCAGTTACTATAACAAGAGGTCCAGGAAGAAAACAAAATTATCTATTAGGTAGTGGAGTTCGGGAGGTATTCAGTGCAAGGAGAGACCATCAAAAAAGCAAATGTTGTAACCTAAAATCTGGCAAATCAAAGTAGTTCATAACCTTGAAAAGAAACTCCTAATATAGCTAGAAAGTAACAGTGAAATAAGAGAATGAATCCACAAAATAGGCAAAGCTCCCAGTCTCAAAATCATTTCTAGAATGAATCCATTGAATATATTTCACAAAAATTAAACAAAAAACAGAAGGGGAGAAAATGGTACCTTCCAGAAACAAGCTGATGCTGAGCACTGTTCACAGGGCCCTTTACATTGCTGAAACGCTTTGCTCTGCTCTCTTGTTCTTTCTCCACACGCATAGCAGCTACCTCCTTCTCCATGACCGCTACTTCTCTTCTCATCTTCTTAGCCTCAACTTCCATGGCTTTGGTCAATGTATCTACTTTCTTTGCTAGCATCTGATAAACAATACCATTGCAACTATTAGCTATGATTATAATTATCAACTACAAATCTAATATTAATAACCAAAACCAAATAAATACTAACTTCAATGGCATCATCTTTATCTTTCAGGCTTTGATCTTTCTCATGACCAGCTTTCCTCAAGGCTAAGACCTCTTTCTGCAGCAAATCATACAAAACCCCAGAAACACTATCCTCCGTATCCACTGTTGGGAAGTCATTGGGCTTATCATCTGAATTTCCTTTCCAGTTATCATTTTCTTCTCTGTCTTTGGTTCCTTCAGAAGATTGGTTGAATGAGTAACTTGGAGGTTTTCCATTTAGAAGAATTTTACTCCTTTCTAATGACCTTGTGCCACCATCAAATGATTTAGATGTGCCTTTAGCATGCTTTAAAACCGTGCTTGAAGATACAGAAGACCTAATTTGAGTGGATGGTGATCTCTTCAGAAACCCATTAGATGTTAGCTTAGAGATGTTATCAGCTCCACCTAGGGATTGACGTCGAGAAGGCCCATTGCTAATACATCTTCCCTCTGAGGTGCCGCGATTAATACTGTTAGAAGTTTCTCTCAAACTCTCCTGTAGCACTTTAAGCCTTAATTGATATTTTTCCTGAAAATTATAAAAGGTTTACCTTGAGTAACGGCAGAAGTAATCTCCTAAGCTAATACATGGGGGCTGAAAAACCAGATTATTACTTTTAACTGTGCTTCTGACTTTGCAGTGCGCTCAGTTATAACAAGCTTGTCCCGAAGTTGCTGCATCTCGCCCTAAAAGAATGTAGTTTGGTAAAGAAAAAAATTAAAACCGCATTGAAGGGAAACAAAATGCAGGAAGATTTTAAGCTCTTTAAAAAAAGTATATAAAACATAAAACCAAAGGAATCAGAAATAATATTCACCTGCAAGAATCGTCGTTCTTCAAGCCATTGTTTTACAGGCATCACTTTGTCATTAGCATCCTTCCATTCATTTGCAACGACTACAGCTACTCTGTTTGCTGTTACCTTGGCACGAGCTAACTCCCGGTCAAGTGTTTTTCTTTCTTCCTATATAGTGTCAAAACAAGCCATGGAGCAATTAATATGCTTAAGCAAGAGTCAAAGTAATGATTGAGTATACAAAGTAGAAGAATAAAGTAAATATATTTAACATGTTACATTCATTTCTTGAACTTTACGCTGATAATCTCTCACAGCATTGGCAGCTGCGCCACCTGCAAGAACAGCCTCTTCCAGTTCTCTCACGGTTTGGGTAAGCTTTTCAACCTCCGCCACCTTCAGTCTATGCATTTTGTCCAAAATTTTATTTTCTTCCTGGGAGAGGTTATGATGACACCAAATGTAAGAAATTACATTATTATTGCTAGCATACTTGGAGAAGAAACACCGTATAAAATTGCAAATACCTGGCAGATCTCAATCTGTTTAATTAGCTCTTGATTTTTATTTTGGAGGTCATCCACCATGGAGGCCTTAGCCAAGGCAATCTGCACAGTCTTCTCAGCTTCAAGAAGTGCTGCTTCTTTAGATTTGGTAAGACGATCTAAAGCTTTGTTATCATCTTGAAGTTTAGCAATCTGCAAGGAACAGTTGAAGTAAACAATAACATAAATCACATTTGAAAGGTCAGCTTCGGTCCCCCTTCACCAGTTTCTTCTCAAGGAATCACAATCAAAGAAGAACAATGTAATAATACCTCTTGCCGTGCAAGCTTAAGTTCAGCTTCTAGAGGAGCAAGAATAGCCTCTATAGGAGGCATGTCGTCATCCTTCTGTGCAGCATGGACCCTCCGAAGAGTGGCTTCAGCAGCAAACTGAGCTGCCATTGATGCTTTCTTTTCATCATTGATTTTCTTTATTTCAAGATTCTGCAAGAAATATCCAGTTTAGTAAACACATCATGTAACCTCAAAATTTTACTTCTCAATAAGGTTGATAGAGGCTTCAAGTAATACTTTGCTTTCTAGAAGAGATTCTGTTAACTTCAGCTTCCCCTCAACCTTCGACAATTCTTCAGTAAGCTACAGTAAAATGAAAAAAAAAGAAAAAGAAAAAAAGGTTACATTTCAAGCTAAAGCAAAGTGACGAAAGTATACATTAAGAAACAGCAGCAACATGAATAAGTGAAAACATAGCACAGGAACAAGTTCTCGAGTAACCATGCACAAGAAATAACAGAAATAATTACAACACCACGTTAAAATACAAAACGGACAGAATAGCCCCACTCCCTAAATCAGCCAAAACATAATTACCTGCACAAAATACATGACATGGAAAACTAGCATAATGACTCTTGAACAAAAAAAAAATACACTCAGTAAACACCAAAGCAAACTCGAATCAATATCACCATACACCAAGAAACAAACACGAACATATACCAAGTACTTTGTAATAAAAATAAAATAAATCTTTCTTTGGTAAGTAATAAAATCAATCAGCAAAGAACCATTGTCCAGCGCAAAGTAAAAATAAATAAATAAAGAAGCTAGTAATAAAGTCTCCATATTCTCAAGTCCTAACACTCACAGTAATAGCAATGATCATTTCGGAAACTTGTAATTGATTTAGTTTAACTTTTAATAATATAAAGACGAAAATTAGAAAGTGACCTCTTCAACTGCCTTTTCTCTGAGCCGTTCAGAGAGCCTCAAGGCTTTGATCTCAGCTTGCGCTTCCGATAATTCTCTGTCCTTATCTGCAAACACGACGCAACACAGCGAGTCATCATTAGTCAACAAGGCGAAGCGACATCAGGTTAAAAACTCGCCAGATCGAGTCGCATTTTGGCACCTCTAACTTCATTCTCCAACCGATTGAGCTCCACCTTCACCGGATCCGAACCGTGCAACAGGTTCATGAACTCGTCCGCGTCGAGGCTCTGCCTCATGGAAGGCGCGCGCCTCCTCGAAGAGCTCTTCCCCTCCTTGAACGATCCGGACACCGCCAACGGCGCGACCGGCGTGGCGACCGTCGCCTCCGCTCCAACCTCGCCGGAAACCTCCGCCATGGTCGATCTATCCGATGCCGAAATCACTCACATCCACGTGCAGACAGCTCCGCGGATCCCTAGGCGAAGAGCGAGAGTAGCTGAGGAAATGCAGGTCTGAGAAGGAGACGGTGGTTTTAGAGAGAGAATTTGGGAGATAGATGGTTTCATAGTCTGTGCTTGTTTCTCTCTCTAGATTGTGATTTTAAATCTGGGCTTTCTTTTCCACTTTCTTTTTCTTTTTTCTTTTTTTTAATTGTTTCTGTGTGTGTTGCAGTGAGAGTGATAGTGAGATTAAACAAATCTGAGTAATGAGTGAGTGAGTGTATAGCTGGCTGTTATAGTTAAGCAGACCAATACTGAGTGAGTGACAGGGAAACACAGTAAACTCTTTCTCATTAATCAATCTAATAAAGGAACAAGGGTTCCCTTCAAGATAAACCGGTAGCGTAATGCGCACTCCAGCAAGTGAAACCATCTTCTATACGGTGTGTCTTGCGCGGGCGTGCGTACGATAGCCTCTGGGCCCCAGAATCAGCTTAGCTGGTAAACGTGTCGTGTTTCCACAAACAAACTCACTACCATTAACATTAACATATACGTTTAACGTTTTAAGGGCATGTATCCACCAAATTATAGGATTAATAACAATAATAAATAAATTAATCGAAAAACTTTATGTAATTTATTTTCTTTATGTTATTAGAGGATGCTAGAAGCATGCAATGGAGTATGATGAGAAAACGTTGAAAAAAATGTACCAAACTACATAAACTGACAAATCTTACGACTGGCAGAGAATTGTATGCTCGTGGCAAGTTTGAAAACACCGGACAGAATAGAAAACTTGTAAATTCCGTATTAATAGCAAAACATTACATTTGGTTTAGAATATTGCGAATTAAACATTGAGACAAATAAACTGATCTACCTTTTTTATTCTTATCGTTAAAGAATCCTTTACTTTAGAAGAGGGGATTGCAATTTTTTGTTGCTAAAATCTCATTTATAAATGCTGGGAAAATTATAATTTTAGAGTAAACTATAAATTTAGCTTCTCAAGTATTGTTTTTCATTTTCTGAAAAAAAAAGTAATAAATTTATATCAATAGATCTTAAAAATATTAAACATGTATTAATTTAGTCAATATATATTGATTACATGGTCATTTATTTATTTTTATAAAATTTACAATATTTAAGAACAAAATTAAAATATAAATATTTTTTAATAATTACGAGATTATTTAAAATGGTTTCTTTATAACTTTTTTAAGAAAAATAATACTATGGTTTATTCATATGATGATTCAAAGAGTTTAAAAACTCTGCAGGGTTTGCATTGATGGAAAGAAATACGTTACTGTAATAGTACTTGATGAAGCGCTCTATTGATTTTATAATGAAATCAAAAGGTTTTGACCTTGAAATGTTCTGGCTTGGATTTGAAACTCTGCTCATGATTTTAATTTCTTTAGCATTCTGCATATTAATTCCGCCTGGATATGAAAAGTTAAAAGGCTTTTCAGATTCGTAGTAGTCAAGTTTTCTCCAGATTGTGTTGTTTAAAATATTGGTCCCCACTACACTGTCGCATGTAGCAGCAGCAGCATGTGAAATTAATCTTTCAACAGCAGTATGGTGATGCGCCAAAAATCATTAAAATCGTGATTTGCGACAGATTATGGAGAGTTGATGATGTATATTAAACCACTTTTATATACACAAGGTGTGTGCGCTCCCAGACTTGTTCACATGGAGGGTCCTTCCCACCATGTTAGACAGTGGCACCACAAATATAATGGGACCAGGGCCACAACTTGAATGGCAGGGAGAGCATAGTAGTCTCGCTTGCACAACAACCTAAAACGGTGACTTGCACCGTTATCAATTCACTAGTTTCCCTCCAACATTTATGCCCATAATGTGACAACTTACCTCACAAAACACAACTATGCAACCAGTTAATTTCCTTACCAGGGACACGATTCTTCGATCAATTTCAATAACCGGACAGCTCACGGATTATAATTATATTTCATGTCAGCGTACAAACATTTTATTAAAAAATACATTAATAATTTCCGCCCAGTTAACACCAGCACTTCATCATAATTGTATTAATTTCAACTAAACAACTAACGATGTATTTAATCAAATCTCATGGAAACTTCATCATCGCATAAACACATTTTCTATTCTTTCAACAATAAAAGATGTCATTTACTTACGATAGCGTGAAAATTAACAAATCCATGAAAATTCTGGTGTTTGAAACTCGTAAAAATCCATTAAACTCAATAATAAAGGAAATGACAAAACCTGCAAAACATATAATTACTGGGTCCTAGCATGCTTAAAACACTCAATCAACAAATAACATCAAAACTGCTAGCTCAAGCCTCAACTCTATCCTCCTCAAGGATGATGGCCTTTCCAGTTGGCTTTGCCAATAGATCTGTGTACTCTTGGAATGGTGATTTGGAGAAGCGGGTCTCTTTCCAGAATTCTGGTGTTAGGAACCCGTAGGTTTTCATCAGACAATCAAAAGTGGCCTGCAAAAAAGGACGAGCCAGTATAAACACAGCTAAATAAAAACATACCAAGAAATTCAGATATCATGAATTTCTTCTTGCTTCGATACTTACTATTTTAAAATGTATACAAATTATTTAAAATCTGATAAAAGGTGTAACTACTATGGATGTGAGTAAAGGTAGTAGTAAAACATAATAATATCCTACTAGCAAAATCTTATAACAAGCAAGCAATTCAGGGAGAAAAATGGGAAAAGCAAATTAGAATGCAACTAATCATAAAATATAAAAAAGAAACTTAATTAAAGAGATTTAACAAACTAGTTTATTGATAAACTTATCATAAAATATAAAAGAATCTTATTTCATTTTCTCCTCTTATTTCCCTCATCTACAAGTCCTTATCAAGAAGTTAATTCTAACAATGTCTAAATTTAATACAGCTTATATTTCTTCCTAACCCATAAACAGGCCTAACCAACACTAAGAGTTAATCCAATAAAAATTATATTGCATTAAAGGTAATGTAATGCTCAATTCTAAGAGTTAATCCAATAAAAAAATAACCAATACCATTAATTTATCAATTTACAAAGAAATAAAGATATATAGAAGCAATAGTAAAACACTTAAAAAATGCAGTGCACAAATATCAACCATACGAACAATGGACATTAAAATGAATACTATAAGGAAAACGGTTAACCTTGACGAAATTTCCGAGAGTTTTGGTTGAACCTCTGGAGGAGGTGAAAACATCATCGATTCCGGCGAACTGCAAGACCTTTTTGGGAACCCTAGCAGCGACAATTCCGGACCCACGAGGAGCAGGGACCATGCGAACGGTGACGGAACCGCACTTTCCGGTGACTTTACAGGGAACAGTGTGAGGCTTTCCAATCTTGTTCCCCCAATACCCCCTCCTGATGGGAATAACGGAAAGTTTGGCCAAGATAATGGCGCCGCGAATAGCGGTGGCAACTTCCTTGCTGCACTTGACGCCGAGGCCGACGTGGCCGTTACCGTCGCCGACAACGACGAAGGCCTTGAAGCGCGTGCGCTGCCCGGCGCGTGTCTGTTTCTGGACGGGCATGATCTTCATGACCTCGTCTTTGAGAGTGGGACCAACAAGGGTGTCTATGATTTGGTACTCCTTGATTGGGAGCGAGTGCAGGTAGATCTGCTCCAGGCTCCGGATTTTACCCTCCTTCACGAGGCGTCCGAGTTTCGTCACTGGTACCCACTTCTCCTCCTCGTCGCGGCGTCCCGGGGCCCTGTGGCGTCCGCCACGGCCCCTGTCGCCGCGACCGCGACCCCCGAAGCCGCGACCGAAGCCGCCACGATCTCCGCCTCCACGTTCAGCCATATTTGTGGTGTTTTAGAGAGGAAAGGGGAAGGAAAGAGGGAGTATCAGCGCTGATGAGTAACGGGAGATGGTTCTTCTGCTCTGAGTAGGGTTTCTGGTTCAGATGTTCTTATATATCTATGTATTTGTAGTGTAAGGGTTAGAGTAGGGTTTTCGTTCTGTTTTGTGTGATTTCTGGGTTTAGTGAAGCCCGTATAGGGTTTGAGCGATGGGCTGGCCCAACTTTATTGAGCTAATTATTTGACAAATATTATAAAAAAAATTTGGGTGCGTCTGTTTGTTCGTTCCCTTTGTCATTTGCTTTGTGCGTTTAAAGCATCCTTTTGAGTTAAAATGTTGGTCGAAATGTGTTCTCATCCCTTCAAATATTTCAAAATATTTGTTTAGTTCCTTTAAATATTTAATACGTTTTCAGTTTATATGCTTACCTAAATTTAGTCCGAGATGATAGATTAAAACGATATTACTTTCCCTAAATAAATAGACTTAAAAAGTATTAAATGATGCAGCTATTAAAATCAATATTTTGATAGATCAAAATATTTAAAAAAATTTAAATTTTGTTATATTAGGTCACCATTTTATTGGGCCATACTGATTAAATTAAAAAAAAAATAAGAATATATTTTTTTATAGGTTAATAACTCATTATAAAATTATCTTTATTTGTATCTAAATTTTTTAGAGCATAAAGAGAACAAAAAATATAGAAAATAGAGTTTATAATGAGATACAAAAATAAATTACTATATAAATACAAAAAGATATTATTCAGAGTAATTTAGAGAAGGTCGTTTGGAGAAGAGGTTTTGTTGTTCTTATTACTCTTGATTTTCTGTTGTTTTCTTAAATAGGGTTATTTGGTATTCTCTTTATTGATAAAAAGGAAATATTTTGTTGTTGATCATTGGTGACTCCAAGATAACTTGTGTTATATCCATTAATTATTATAAGTGGATGTCATACTAGATCATGTGGATTTTTCCTTAGTTTTTCCACTTTAAAATTTGGTGTCTTCTTAATTTTTGATATTCTATTTTTGGTACACATTATCATTTATGTATTGGTTGTTGTAATTGTGGTATCTTCCCCAGCATCAGAGCTCCAGTTAGGGATTTTGGTTTGTGCTTTGAAAATGGGAGATAATGATGATGTTGAAACTATGATTAAATTGAGCTCTCTTCTAATTACTCAATATGGAAATCTCGAATGAAAGATCTATAATTTTGCAAAGACTTATATGATCTTATTGAGGAAAAAGGTATCAATTCATAAGATAAATTTGAAGGAGATTGGAAAAAATTAAATAGAAAAACTATTGGTATGATTAGACCATGGATAGACTAATATGTTTATCATCATGTGTCTAATAAGACTCTAGCTTACAATTTATGAAAGTAATTAAGTAAGTTGTTTGAGTCTAAAAATTTCTTGAGCAAGACATTCTTGATTAGGAAACTTGTAAATTTGAAATATAAGGATAATTCCTCTATGCGAGAACACTTGAGCAACTTTCAAACTATGATGAACCAATTAATCACCATGGAGATTGAGTTGGACAATGAGTTACTTGCATTGTATTGTTGTTGCTTAACTCATTACCAAATAGTTGAGAGACATTAGTGGTATCTTTGAGTAATTATGCTCCTAATGGGAATTAACTTTTGACATGGTTAAAGATAGTATTTTGAATGAAGAAACTAGGAGGAAAAGAAGTTGTAAGGTGAACTCCTCTACTCAAAATGAAGCTTTGATTATGAAGTCAAGTGAAAGAAATTAATATAGAAATTATCATAAATTTTATTGTCATAACAAGTTAAGAGGAAAGTAAAAAAAAAAAAAGGAAAAACATCACATGTTTCCATTATAATAAATCGGGACGTATGATCAAATATTGTAGGCTCTTAAAGAGAGAAAGATCAAGAGATAAAGACGAGTAATAATGATAAAAGAAATTATAGAGATAAAGATACTACTGTGTATATGATGGTAAAGTTGTTATTATTTATGATGATGAATATGTTAGTCCAAAGATTGAGCTTTTGTTTTGAAATCCAAAGATCAGGTACTTTATGTGTTTAAGTATTTCCATGCAAGTGTTGAAAGAGGAACAAACAAGTTGTTGAAATATATTAGAGCAGATAATGGTGGTGAATTTAGAGACCCTTTTGAGCACTATTGCAAGGAGCTAGGCATCAAGCTTGAGAAGACAATTCCAAAGACCCCTCAATATAATGGAATTTCAGGGAGAATGACAATTAATGATAGAATCATATGCATACTCTCTCATGCAAAGTTTCCTAAAGCATTTTGGGGTGAAACATTGAGAACTGCAGTGAACTTGATTAAACTATTTTCATCCATTCCTCTCAATGATGATGTCCCTGAGAATGTGTGGAAAGAGCAAGATGTTTCTTATAATCATTTGAGGATATTTGGTTGCAAGAATTTTGTCTACGTTCCTAGAGATGAAAGATTTAATCTTGATGAGAAATCTAAACAATGTTTCGTGATGATTTTGGTTACAAATTTTGGAATCTAGTTAATAAGAAGATTATTAGAAGTCAATATGTTGTTTTTCTTGAAGATCAGAGACCATTAAAGATATTAACAAGAAAGAAAAGTCAAGACATGTTGTACCTGAGTGCATTGATGTTGAGCTTGAACCTTTTATCGGTGTTATTAATCATGGGGGAGATGTGAATGCAAAATTGGAGAATGTAGATAATATGTTTGAGACTCAAGCCAATGAACCAACTAAACCCGTTCTTCTTGAATCTTTTATGAAGTCTCAGTTGAGAAGATTTACTAGAGAGATTCGTCATTCTAAAAAATATTAACGTCATGAGTTTGTGTTGTTAATTGATGGGGGAGAGCTTGAAAGTTATGAAGAAGTTATGTTACATAAAGAGAAAAGGTAAGTGATATAAAGCCATGCAAGAAGAGATAAAATCCTTACATGAGAATCACACATTTAACTTGGTAATACCGCCTCAAGGCAAAAGAACACTTAAAAATAAATGGGTGTTCAAATTTAAATCAAAAGATAATAACTCACAAACAAGATATAAAACAAGGTTAGTGGTGAAAAGATTTAGTCAGAAGAAAGGTATTGATTTTGAATAAATATTTTCACTTGTCGTCAAAATGTCTTTAATTAAAGTTGTATTTGGCTTCACAACAAGTTTAAATTTAAAAGTTGAACAACTTGATAGGAAAATAATTTTCTTTCATGGTGACTTGTTGGAAGAAATTTATATACAGTAACCTGAAGGTTTCATAGTGAAAGGTAAAGAGAAACTTGTTTATAGGCTAAGAAAGAGCTTCTATGGACTCAAACAAAATCCAAGACAATGGTATAAGAATTTTGACTCCTTTATGATGAATCACGAGTATGATAAAATCTCATCTAATAATTCTGTTTTTGTTAAGAAATTTTCTGATGGAAGATTTATTATTTTCTTACTTTATGTTGATGACATGTTGTTTGTTGGTCATGATATGAGAGAGATTCAAAGACTTACAAGAGAATTGCACAAGTCCTTTACAATGAAGGATTTCGGTTATGCAAAGCAAATCCTTGACATGAAAATGGTTTGTGATAGGAAGAACGAAAAATTATGGTATCACAACAAAAATATATTGAGAAGGTATTAGAGAGATTTAATATGGACAATTCTAAATTTGTCAGCACTCCACTTGTATATCGTTTAAAGTTAAGCTCAATATAGTGTCCTATAAATGAAAAAGAGAAAGAAAAAATGCAGAAAAGTCCTTATTCATTTGCAGTTGACAGTTTAATGTATGTTATGTAGGGATGACAATTAAACCCGTACACGTGGGGACCGACCTGTCCCCGCCCCGAGTTCGACGGGAAAAACCCAAGTTGACCTGGGACGGGGGCGAGTTCGATTTTTCCTCGCTTTAAAAAGTTGGGGCGCGAGGCGGGGATGAATAATGCAATCCCCACCCCAACCCCGTCGCCACTTCGACTTTATATTTAAATTTAAAATTTAAAATATTAATATTTTAAATGTATTTTCTTTTCTTTTTCTATTACATATAAGGTTATTTTTTTAATATTTCACCAATTTTTATTTTTCTTCTACCCACTTTTAATTTTTTTGTCTTTTTTAATCATTTATATCAATTAATTTATTACATTATTCTCTCTCTTACCTTTCTATTTTTTACATTTTCTTAATTTCTTCAATCAATTTATTTATTTTTTTAATCTTTTCAATCAATTTGATGAACACAAAGTAAATTTTTTTCTTTATATTTTTCTAAATATTTTACATAAATCCTAATAATAACTAATATTATTTTATTTATAATTTATATTTATTAGGTTTTATTATGTCATATTTTTTTCTTATTATTCTTATTTATCATATATCAAATTTTATCTTAATAAAATAATTGTATTTTAAAGGATTAAAAGAAATTGATAATTTAAACTTTTATTACTTCGAACTAATTAAATAAGAATTAAATTATTAAATATTTTCTTATAAATTATATATTTCATATTTTTAAATGACAACTTAAAAATGAATTAACTTATATATATAATTAAATGTTTGAATACAGTATTATAATAATAATATTATAAGTATTCAAATATTTGAATAATAATAATAATAATAATAGTGTTATAAATATTCTCTCTCTATATATATATAAATAAAAAATAATTAAATATTTTTTTACATACATATTTTAAAATAAATATAATAAATTAAAATGTATATTTAATTAATAATAATTATAAATTATAAAATTATAAATATTTATTTATATATAAAAAATACATAATAAAATTAATTTATTATAAATGTAATTATTTTTTAAAAATAATATAGATCGGGGACGGGACGGAGGCGGGAACCGAAACCCAGCGGGACGAGGATGAAGATTTAATTTTTAATCCCGACGGGGATCGGAGACGGGGATCGGAGACGGGGATGGTTAATAAAGTCGGGGGCGGGGATTGGGGAGGCAAAACCTGCCCCCGCCCCGTTGCCATGCCATTGCTACGGTGTGTACAAGGTCAGAAATTGCTCATGTTGTTTGTGTTGTTAGTCGTTTACTTGTTAATCCAAATAAAGAGCATTGACTTGCTATGAAATAGATACTTAGGTACCTCAAATGTACTTCTGGAAAGTGTTTATATTTTGAAAGTGGTAAGTCTATGTTAAATGTTTACACAGGTGCAGACATGGCTAATGATGTAGATTCTAGGAAGTCTACTTCTGAATATATTATGTCTTTTGCAGGGGAGCGATGTCATGACAGTCCAGATTACAAAAATGTGTTGTTTTATCTTTTATAGAGATAGAATACATTGTTGTTACAGAAGTTGGAAAGGAGCTCTTGTGGATGAAAAAATTCCTACAAGAGCTAGGAATTTCACAAGAAAAAAAAAAGTTGTGTTGTGATAGTCAAAATACAATTCATCTTAGTAAAAACTCAACCTTTCATTCAAGGTCAAAACATATTAAGGTCTGATACCATTGGATTCGTGATACGTTGGAGATGAATAATTAATAAGATCCAATACGAATGAGAATGACTCATATATGATGACAAAATCCTTACTTACGGTAAAATTTGCTATCTCGAAGGAGAAAACAAGTTTGGTTAACTATAACTCCAATTAATTGGTGAGAGGGAGATTTGTTAGATGGATCACCAATTTATTGGGTGTTAAAAAGAAATAAGAATATTTTTCTTTATAAGCTACTTACCCATTATAGGATTATCTTTATTTGCATCTGAATTCTTTAAAGAATAGATAGAACAAAAGACAAAAAATAAAGAAGAGAGTCTCTGGTGAGATACAAAAAGAAACCACCATGTAAATAGAAGTACAGATAAATTAGCTCGAAGAAGAGGTTTTGTTGTTCTCATTATTCTGTATTTAGTTCTTTATTATCTTCTTAGATACCTAATAGGGTTTTTTGTTATGAACCTTATTGATGAAGAGAAAATGTTCTATTAATCTTTGGTGATTTTAAGTGAACTTATATTATACTCATTAATGGTTATTAGTAGAAGTTATTACTAGATTAGGTCTCGTGAGGTTTTCCTTCGTATCAAGGATTTTTCCATGTTAAAATTTAGTCTTTTTATTTCTTGATATTCTATTTTTGGTATACATTATCATTTATCATTACCCGTTACTCGATGTTTTTCGAAATCTATTGTGATTTATATAAGGGAAAACAAAAATTAGATTTTGCTTTTACTTACTGTAATTTTGGTATCTTCCCCAACATATATATCTAGTATTAAATGAGCTGATTAAATAAAATTGGTTTATCCATAAAATTTTAATACGTTAATTTATAATAACTCACATTCTATTCAACCAATTGATCTAGACTTTCTTGCCAGTTGACTAATTTAAAATAAGGAAAACAAACTTTTGAGACTAATATATTAGGCTTGAGCAATTATATTGATTAAAAACCATTAGTTAAATTTGTGGCTAATGTTGGGAATACATTATATTTGTATGACTTTTAGGAAGCTCAACTGTAATTTTCAGTGAAGAATTATGCGTAAACTTAATTCTTTAAAGAACATCTCATCAGCTTTTTAATTCTAATTTAACGTACTGACTGAACACTTTGTTGTGGGAGATATATTTCACTCTCCCAGTTTAAACTTGTCATCGTTTGTGACCAAACTGAACACTGAAGTTTTTGAAAACATCAAGGTTTGGGAAGCAACATCTATAGTAGCTCAAACCAACGGACAGGATGTGAACCAATTAAAAAAAAAAAAAAAGCAATTATCTTTGCTTCTACCAAAAAAAAATCCATAAATAAAACGCAGGAAATAAGTTGAAAGTTAGACTGACATTCTTTCCATTGTTTTCTCCCATATGAACAAATCTGATACAAGAAATAGGACAGCCTTCAAATGACGACTAAAGGAGAAATTCGGGTAAAATGAAATCGTTAAACTTATTCAACACAAATACTAGATCTCTGTAAGAAGCTTTCCTTCTTAACTATCTTTTCTCTACAGAAGCAATTAAGCAAAACAATGACAGCTAAACCGAGCAAATTGGGAGAAGTTCTATTCTTTCATGTCTTGATATAATCTATATATACACATCAGCAGGTGAAAACCCTGAGCTATTTTATAATTAAGCTCAGCTTGATATTACATCTTTGATCGTCTTCAGTATTCTGTCACACCTGTTCATTTCCCTTCAAAATATTGAACTTGCAAAGAGGACAAGTTGCATTCATCTTTAGCCATTTCACTATGCATGTAGAATGGAAATGATGGTTACATGGAAGAACATTAAGTTCCGCTCCATCCTCATAAGAAGAGATGCATATACAGCATTCCTGAAAAGGGAAAATAAATATTACTTTCATAAATCTTTTTATTATTATCGCAATGCAGAAACTATATTTTTTTTTCTTTTTGAACAACCATAAATTCACACAAAGAACTTATGAAACTAAAGCATGAATCTTTATATGCAATGAACAAAATAGAAAATCGTAGAACCATCTTCAGAAGTGATTAACTACTTATTGCTGGAAGAAATTAATTATGTCAACATACTGCATCCTCAGTTGAAAGTATTCGTTCATTCACTGAGTAACCATTGTTGGTCTCCTCCATAGGAATCATTGATCCACCTCCCTCACTAGGTGTTTCCCCATTGCTTAACATTTGAAATCTGTATTTCTGAAGAGCACTGAGATCCGATTCTGATGCACCCTCCTATGTTTTCATGAAATGAGGCAATGAGATTGAAAGCCAACAAATATTTGAATGTCAAGATTTAAAAAAAAAAACAAAAAATACCTGTCCTGCAACAGCATAGAGAATAGCAATAATACAGGGTAAACAACAACAGAGGGCGATTCCAATCAAGCACGCCAACACAACACAAAAGATAGCAAAGAAGACATCAAATGCAAGAAAGACAACAGCCAACCTGCACAAATCCGAAGAAAAAGAGATTCAATATCAACATAATCACCTAATTCATTATGCAATCAACCAATTTTCTGTCAACAAAATAAAAAGCAATATAACAAAAAAAATAAAATTAAAACACTCATTTGTAATGACATTGTTTATTGAAAGAAAGATTATTCAGCATTGGCTTCGGTCTATATTAACGTTTTAAGCTCTGAGGACTAATTTCACAAAGTTATTCAATTTTATTTTATTTTCTCATGTATTAGGATGGATACAGCCATTGGGTCAGAAAATAAAAGACCATAAATCTCATGCATTAAGAAAATAACATCAGATATTAGTGTTCTTCATAAATAACTTTAAAATAAACATGTCAGTCTTTGATAAAAATAAAATAAAAAATAGGAGAGCATTTTATGTTAACTTTTGAAATAAAAATGAAGATATACCTCTATATGCAGGAAAAATATTCTTATACATTTATGTAATTATTAATGCCAGAGCAAATAGTATTTTTGTGCATGTGAATGTCAACTCAATTAAAGGGTCAAAAAGTTAATATACAAGCATTATTCTTGAAATTCAGTTTAAATAAAAACTTACCAGTATAAATGCGGAGCATCTTGCAGAAGAATGTCACCACCAGAGACAACCCAGTAAAAGCCCACCATCCACCAAAGTAACGAAATCATGGTATTCAATGATGCACATCGTTTAGTGAATCTGGTTTGTAGGTAATCAAAATCAGTATAGCAAGTCACGCACAATCTAAAGAAGTAAATAATAATAAACCAAACAACATACAACTCCGTAGTAGATTAAGGTCAATGTAGCAGCAAGGGCATGGGCATAGATATCTAATTTTCTTTTCCCACAGTGAAAGGATAATCCAACAGTTAGTTGTCATATTGCAAAAATAGAAGCACAGTTTCTGTACCAAAATATCAGTAGAAGAAATTTATTGACTAAAATCTTAATGAAACTTGCAATCCTTTCAACGTATGAAGTTAAGTACCATTTTTATTAATCATAGAGATGCACTATGATGTTTTCACTCATACATACATTATCTATGACTACAACATTCTTGAACCATCTCAGTCACCTCACCTTTGAAAGAATTAAATCTAGAAAGAACTTGGTTCACATACCAGGATAGAACAATTAAGTATTCAAATTAGCCAAATGTCTAAATCCCCTTTAGTACTACTACTCATATGAATCCCCTAGACTAATAGAATTGAAATTTTAATCAGGACTCATGCAAAGATATTGACAGTTTCAAGAAGGGAATTGACACATGCAAACCCGGTACAGGATTTTACAATACAAGGAACCGACAACTACTACATGACTACACCCCCTGCAACTAGATTCATTATTGAAGTACATGTAAGATTGTTAGCTGCAGAAATTAATAGGCACCAGATTTATTTTTATTTTTTTTATGGTAGAAGACGAGCTCTGTTGCAAAGATGAAATTACTTCCTACTAATCTGTTGCAACCTCTTTGCATATGTAAGAGGAAGGCTGCCTAGCCTACAGTTACCTTCCCTCGTTCCTTTGCTACATAAGGAGTCTCTCTCACCATAAGAGCTCACCGACATTAAGACAAACCTTACATAGACAAAGATACATGTTGATAAATAGATATATTTTCAGCACCAATGTCCTCAACAGCAAGATTCAAATTCGCTTTCTTATACATTGAATCGAACTCCAAGAAAACCTTTGTTTCTATGCACAAACTATTAATCGAACCCAGCAAACTGAAAAATAATAAATTGGCATGTTTAGAATTAAAATTCAGCAATTCAATTGAAATGAAATTTCACGCACGCAGTGGAAGGGGAACTCCCGGAGGTTCCAACATCGTCCTCGTCGCTCTCGTTGACGTCTTCGTAATCGAGGTGGCCACCAGATTCTTCGTCGCTGGGAGCGTCGCTCCTCCTCCTGTACTCGAGCCACACGAGCGCCACGTGGACGAGGCACTGCAGCGCGTAGCCGCAGATCCACCACCGGATTGGCGTGTTGGGCTTCTCCTTGACGGAGCAGGCGACCATCACCGCCGAAACCACCACGAAGGCCATGTTCCACGTCATGTCGAGCGCCACCACAGGCTTGGAGTAGGTCCAGTCGGCGCGGCGCTCCTCGAGCTCACGCGCCGCCGTCTCTCGGACCACGGTGGAGTGGCCGCGGCGGCCGAGGAGGAGCGCAAGGACGGGAAGACGAGATGAGGCGCCATCGGGACGCGGGAGAAGGAGCGGCGAGTGAGTCTGAGGGGCGGCGTTTGGGGAAGACATGACTATAGATTACTAGATAGACAAACACATAACTCAAAATTGAAACGCGCAACAGAGATGTTTCTTCTTCTCCTTGTTATCTTTCTTCTTGTTTTGTTTTTGTTCAAGTATATTGGTTGACGTTGAATTTTAGACGATTAGATTCAATTGGAGTTGTGGTCGTTGAAAAAAATGAAAATTGCAATGTTTAGGACCCAGGAAGAGGATGCCAGGAACAGTTCAGAACCCAGTGGCAATATTTTTTTGCCTTTAGAAGGACGGTTATGCCCTCCACTCTTACTCATACTACAGATAAAACTGAAATTGTTTATAAATTATTTTATGCAGAAACAAATTTAATATTGGAATTATTTTATTAAAACAGTTTTCAATTTAATTTAACAAATTTATTATTCTCGAATAACTGTTGCTATTTTTTTCATGTGTTATTGTTCCTATAAATTAAAATAAAAGTTTTTATTTTAAAGAAAAATAGTCTTTTTGTTTTTTTATTTTTTTCTTTAAAACTATATTATTTCTATAACAGTTGTTAGTGTAATTATAGGAAAAATTATAAAAATATCATAATTTTTAAAAATTATTATAATTCATATATTTTAAAATAATAAAATATATAAAAAATATATTATAATAATAGATAAAAAAAGAAAATACGTAAAAAAAATATGTTTTTATTTTAGCTTCAAATCGTAACATTGTTAATTACTAAAAAAACAATTATAGAAAAATAAGAATATTATATTAAGACATGATATAATAATACAAAATCTGAAAAATAAAATGATTACAATATATGTTATTATTATTATTATTATTATGTTGAATTGTTTTATTTAAATTTGATAATATATATATTTAAAATATATTGAGATCCCAAAATTCAGAACATCTTTGAATATTTCTTTATATTAAATTTAAATATATTTTAATTGGGAGCTATATTTAATAGCATAATCACATACATGTAAAAGTATGGCTATTTTCATCTATTTTCTATGATAGACTGGTATTTGTTTCTAAAAGTTGGCATCTTCATAGTGGATGATAATCCAACAATATATACTTTAAATATTTATATATTTTTTCCAAACAAATAAATATACCTTTAAATCTTTTTAAATAAATTTATTACCAAAATTTTATCACAATCATGTTAAATATATATATATATATATATATATATATATATAATTAATTTGATTAGATCGAATAAGTAGGAGATTTTAATTAAACTTACTGAATTATAGTTAGGACTAATGGTAAGAGCATTAATTAGAAAAAAGAAAAATACAAAAATAAAAAATAGAATTTGGAGCATGATTAGAAAGTAATGAGGAATTATAGGACAAAAAATAAATCCGCTTGGTTTCGGATTTGATACAACTCAAAGTCATGATTCTATTTGGTTTACACAATCAACAAAATATTCAGATAATGTACAAGAACATAAAAAAATACGAGATTGTATAAAAAATTATATAAAAAAAATAAAAAAATATCCTCGGATGCTGAGAGGGAATTGGACGAGATAAAGATTCAAAAAAGAATCGATTTGATTCAAGTCATAATATATATGAGATTTTCCAAGTTATTAATAGAGGATAAACCTTAAAAAATAGAAAATTTACAAACGAATATAAAAAAAGCTGAATTGTGTGAATAGAAAACTAAACATTGTTATTGTAAAAGTTAAAGTTCATCTTATATAAACTAGTTGACGAACTTCTAAACAAGTTTATATAATCGAAAAATAGTACTACTTGGTAAAGAAAATTATAAATTTAGTTTTATCTACCAAAATATCAAATGTAAAATGTGATGTATTTTTTATAATTTTGTTTTGAAAAAATAAAAAAAGTTTATTTTTTTATAAGGTTAGATGAATCAATTAAACCAATCTAAAAAAATTGGTATAAAGATTATTTTATTATATTTTTATTTTATTTTAATAATTATTTATCTTATATTTTAAATTTTTTTATTATAATTATTAATAAAAAAAATTATTTTTTCTAGATTCAGTTGTATACCTCACTCAACCTTTAAACTTCATATCTTTGATTAAATGACCAATTCAATTTTAAAAATATATTTTTTAGATGGATCATTTAGTAATTTCATTCTTAAACGTTAAATAAAATATTAGTGATAAATTATTTGGATTTGTTATTATATTATATTATATTTTTTATTATTAAATTATGTGATTAACATGGTCCATAAGATGCTTTGAAACATAGAATTGGAGGGAGGGAAATATATATTGATATAATTTTTTAAACACGAAACAATACAAGGTATATTCATGCATATTAAGCATTAATTTAATTATTCAAATTCTATTAATGTTTATTATTTACAAATAAGAAAACGTTGAAATTGTAGATACTACAAAATGTATATAAAGTTATATGAGGTTGCTTCATTCATTCTATACTTTTGAGTTCAAGATTTGAGTGTTCGATAAATATTAAAGTAAAGAAATGATTTATATAATATTATCTTTAATAGAGGTTTAATAAAATAATAAAAAATTAGTTATAAAAATAAAAAAATACAAACTTACATTTAAATATTTATTTATTCATTTTACGTTGATAGGAAAACAAATTTTTTTGCCCGCCACTATCAAATTACGAAAGCCTCCCCAAAACCCTACATCGCCCTTGGTTCTCAGTTCTCTTGTTACCGCTCCACAAGCTCTCCTTCTCCCTCTTTTCCGCCAATTTTGAATTTGCATTTTCCATTTGTTTCTGGGGAAGCGCAAAAGCAAAAGAGGGTTTCAATTTCATATTCAAATCCAGGTTAAGCTTCTATCGGTAGGGATGTCGTGGGAAGACGAGATTGTGATGCGCGATGTTACGAATGCGGGGCTTGTTGTCAGCGATCGCATTGGTCGTGAAGTTTCGTCTCAGCTCGACCTCGAAGAAGCTCTAGAAGCTTCCAGATATGCTAGTCACCCTTATTCCACTCACCCCCGAGAGGTATCTTCCCCAAATCTTAGGGCTTGTCGTTGTTGTGTTTAACTATGTTCACTTTCTGATTGCTGTTTTATTTCTCCATTTTTCGCTCTAAATTTGAGCTATTCGGCTCGGAGATCCATACTGTGCGCATTCGCCCGAATGACTATTGGGGAGGGAGAGACTAAATTCAACATTTATAGTGTAGAATTGTGAAGTAAGCATTTACTTCATTTATAAAGTTTTTAATCTTCGTTTCATATGAAAAATCATATTCACCTGGGGAATGGTCAAACATGAGGTCGAGGCACTTACATTTAGTGCCCAATGCCTCCTACAAAGGACACGTGTGGGGAATTGGAAAAAAGAAGACAGGCAAATTGCACTAACATCCTCCTAAGGTTTCGTCAACTTTCTATTCCCTTGTTTTATACCTATATTAACCCCTCTTATTTGTTTGAAAAACATTACACTGATACCCTTTGTACACTATACCATCCTATTTGAACAACAATATACCGTGTACCCTTGTGAGTGAATTTGTAGTAAATGTTAAAAAAGTAGGGGAACCATATGCAATCTGAAGAAACCTTAGGGAGGGTTAATGTAATTTTCTGAAATATAAATAAATGGCTAATTGATTTTAAAATGAAATAACTAATTAATATTTGGGGATATAATAGAGGAGAGGAATATGAAAATTACAATATGGATTTGGGTGTGCCCAAGGTTTTAAATTGCATCCTTGTTAGTGATTTTGTCGTGTTTCTTTATATTGCTGATAATCTGAGACAACAAGGCTGATGCTGCCGTAATTGTGGTGGCAATGTGGTTGCAGATACTTAAGAAACCTTGATGTTGCTGTCAAAATCACAGTCATGGACTGTTTCTTAAGACCTAGGGTGTGTTTGTTAGCGTATTTAATAAGCTGGTGGTTCAGTTTAATTTCTATATCTAATTGCATTTTTTAATGTAATTTCAGTGGCCCCCTTTAGTTGAGGTAGTGAATACCTGGGAGTTGCCTCCTGTGCTCATCGAAAGATACAATGCAGCTGGTGGGGAAGGAACTGCTTTTTGTGGAATATTTCCAGAAATACGGAGGGCATGGGCATCTGTGGACAATTCATTGTTTCTTTGGCGTTTTGATAAATGGTATGTTCCATGATGATGACTAAGAAAATTTTAGCTTAGATATGACAATAGACATTTCCCTAACTCATTTTTTAATGAAATCTGTCTTTCTGGATTTTCTTTGGTATGGAGTTGCCTCCTACCTTTTTTATTGCTGTGCATTCAAGCTGTTGAAGGACTTCATATTTATTAGTCATCTACTCTCCGACCATTTAAAAAAAAATATTTCCCTTTTTATTTATTTTTGCCTTTTCAATGCTTTATATTTGTAGCATGAGCCCTCACAGACTATTGCATGGATTATTATTAGGTAATGCTGGTCCTTTTCAATAGTTTATGTCTAATTTCGGTAATTATTGTATGACTAGTATGGGGAACATTGACGAAGCTGTTCGAAAAGATTTGAGGATTATATATGTTTAATGATAAACTTTCTATGCATTTTTTTTAGGTTTCTGTTCATACTAGGTTTTTGAACTACAACAACTGTTCCATAGTTATTTTGACTGCTGAACTGTTAATGTACAAAAAATAGGTATCGGATGATCTCAGGGGGACTAAATATTGGTGTAGGTGTTACTGTATTCCAATAAAAATCCTTTAGAGCTATTAAGTGTAACTCATTTACATATGCTGCAGCACTTCTAACCTAACATTGTTACTTCCATAGGGATGGCCAATGTCCTGAATTTAGTGGGGAGGAGCAAGCTATTTGTGCAGTTGGTCTTGCAAAATCAAAACCTGGTGTTTTTGTTGAAGCTATCCAATATCTTTTAGTTTTGGGGACACCTGTTGAGGTATTAACCATTTTATTTTTTGCTGATTTTCCAAGGACTAATGTAATTGAATTTTGTACGTAAGAAGTAGTTATTCTGTTTTTTGCTAAGCTTTTTTTACCTAAAAAATATT